AATCGAAACAAAAATCTTCCGAGTTTTGCGGTCAGGATCGTTTTTCCCCGACTTGTAAGTTTTCCACGACCTTGTCCTAAACTCCGCGTTTCTCAAATCAATTCGCTCTCTGTTTTATTAAACGAATAAATAATTAGCTAAATTTAATTATTATATCAATGATTGTAATAATATTGGAAGATGAAAAGGACTAAGACGAATTTTGCGATTGCGATTTCGCGGTTCGTCTATTACAGACGATATACAATTCAATGTAAAAATAAATTTTACGATTAATTTGCTTCCAACGACTCAGTTGTTAAATACGAAAATACATTTATAACGGTCGTTGGAAAAAGCTCCGTTTAAAATTGCGGTATAGAGCGTAAAAAAATACACAAGTCGATTTTTCCAATACAAATAACGTTGAAAAATCTCCAGTCATTAAAACTATGCAAATACGCCCGGTTGAACTTCCTTTTTTTTCGAACTATCGCTTTATGTTATACAACCACGTAAATCGTTAGAGGTAACAGCAAAAGCGAAAATAAAAAGAGTTATTATGTAAAATGTTGCTTCGAAAACCACTCGTGTTGTTGCAGTTCAACATGCAATCCTGCAATTTAATTTCCAAACATTCAATAGCGTTCAAATATTTAGTCAATTTATAATTGGGACGTCCCGTATATAGTGTGCTTGTATTGTAAATACACATTTTAATCTCGTTAAGCCACTAATAAAACAACCCTGGAAACAGAAATACCTACAACCCAATACTAAATTCATCAAATCAAATTACCCCTACATCCTACATTATTACTTATTTTACAACCCTTCCACTCATATTTGTATACATACATACAAATTAAACATATACATAATCCTCTCGTTCATATCCCTTTACAAATAAGAAGATCCTCATTATTATTAGATACATCGCATAAGAAACTTTCCCTAATCCCCCCGTAAAATTAACGATTTACCTACAAGGGTACGTATGTAAATAAATTCATTAAACTTAATTACAATTCCTGGCTCGAAAACGCGATATATTTACAATCAAAGGAAGGAAACGAGGAAATGAAACACGTAGGTAAAATAAACAAACACTATCGCAAATCTCAAAGAATATACGTGACGAAACAACAAGTGAAACTCCCCAGAATTTCACTTTATCTCCGGCAAGTACACACGAGATGGTTGTCGAGTTGTTGTGTTGTTAGTGCTTTGTTAGAGTGTAACGTTGATTTGCGCCAATTTTCAAATACGAGGCTACATCAATAACCGAGTAGGCTAGTATGTTAGAGCGTTTTCCAAAAGTTTCCAAATAAAAGGAATAATCGCGGTTCGAAAGAATTCGTTTCGTTACATAGAAGAATGCGGAAAACTCGTAAGAAAATTCCTCGGCGAAAACTCTCCGACAATTTCATAACGCCGTGTTTCGAGTTTTCGGCGGAACATCCTCAGTTTAAATTGCTGGAAATTAAAGTCGGTAAATCACGGCGGAAAGTTCGGAAACTTCCCGTGCAATTCCTGCCACGCAGGAATTAGAAACTCCGCCTATAAACTCGAATATTTTTACTTAAGCTAATTATCAGTTACATTGTAAATGCTTATTGTAGCAAAAACGAAACAATCGCTTGGTTTTTAAACATTTTCAACAAGTTTCGGCTTATTTCTATTATTTTTGCTGATTCTATTGCTTGAAACAATAGGATTTGGTACAAAATTAGGCGCGCCAATGAGCTTTGCAATTAAATTGCACGCGACATGTAATTTAAAACACGTCATGTAAACTAAAGTGGCGTTAATTAACCGGAGACTCGGCGCAAAACCGATCCACAAAGGGTCGGTTTTAACTTTGCCATTTGTTCTCGCGGTGAAATTCATAATTAATCCGGGAATTAAGCGGATTTTTTGGCGTTCTTAACGAAAATAAATCGCAGCTGGGAAATAGGAACTCCGATTGGAATTTTCCTGGCGTTCGGGCTCTAATAAAAATTTGCATATTTACGAGCTACAACTAGTAATTTGCCCGCGTACTTTATAAGCGGAACCGGAATCGTTACGCCCGGATTAAATCCAACCGGAAGACTTTCAACTTGATGCAAATACTCCAATTTCTAGAATAATATTATCGATTATTTCTTACACACCGCCCATATTCGGAAGTTTTTTATAACCAAGTGGTTTTGTAACCAACGATTATATATTTACGAATTTTAAACATGGCTAAGTTGCTTAAACAAGATGAAAATGATGGGTTTTTTGGGCTTATTTGAAAGAATAAGAAGAAAAAAAAAGTCAAAAACTGTTCATCTTGTTCACGATTCAAATAAGCAACGTTGCAATTCATAATCGTTCGTTACAAAACCAATTGGTTATAAAAAAGCTTCCGAATACGGTGTTGTATAAAGTGTGGGGCATTTTTAATTTTCGAGCAAGAAAATCGTTTGTTACATCTGTTAGATATAAACATACAGAGAGAATATATGAAATTACTTAGGATTACAACGCGGTATTTTCATTTTCCGCGTCAGTTTGTCGCTTTTCCAGCTGTAGCGGAAAAGGAGAAACTTTTAATGCGCTTCGCCCGGCACCTGGCGTTTACAATTCGGCGGTTTTCCACACTTAAACCGCGCGATTTTCCGCCGGAAAATGAGGAAATACGTTCCGAGGGATTAGCTTAAATATACTGTACCGGCGAATCCGGCGTAATTAGTTAGTTAAAATTAAAATCCAAACGAGTGTTGTATCGAAAATAATTGGAATTTTTCCTCGCTCAATTTATTTTTCGCCCCAACAAGTATACGCATCGGTTGCACCTGAATAAAAATCGGGGCTCATCCTTATTATTTATTCAACCGTACGGCGTCGTTTCGCCCAAGGAAAATCTTCCCGGTTATTTAATTTTGACTGGGAGTTTCGTTTCTTTTACAATGCGATTACGGGGAAGTTTGCGCGACATCCGTTTTTAAAAAGGTCGAGCAAATTACCGAAGGAGAAATTCACTTCTTGCCTTAATGTAATGGAAATCCAACTTTTCCTAAAATATATTTTCCCCAACTCGGAAAATTACTTAGATCTACCGCCATGCTTCGCTCGCTTTCTTTACCTCTCGTTTTAATACATTTCTCCAATTCATCAATCATTTATACTCAATATACCTGATTTATAAATTTAATCCATTGACAAAGCGAGTGTAAATCGCTGGTGTAGTAAAAGGGATAAAGCGATCGCGTTTATCCAATTTTTGCGTTAGAGGCTTCCTAAATGGGCAACAGGTGGTTCTGTTTCAGATTTCCCGGTCCCATAGCGAACGCGATTTCCATTCGGAATGGAAAACCTATCATCGTCTCGTCGACGAGCAGGAAACAACGAGCCGAAGACGTTTTAACGAAGAAAAACACCGGAAAACCGTCGTTGAATTTCCCGCGCGTGTGGCAAATTGTTGTGGAAAATGAACGAGAAAGAAGTCGGAGTTTTCAAGTCCATAATTGAAAGTAGGAGATTAAATTGCACCGCCAGCGAAGAGGATTCCTCGTTCGGGGACGGTAAGTGTTTCATTTTGAATGAATTTATTTTGAATTAATTTGCAAATAGTGCATCCGTTTAGGCAACTAATCGCGCGTTAATTGGAAAGTTGATTAAAGCTGTTTGTTGATAAACATGCAATTAAATAGCGAACATTGCTAGTTCTTGATAAAATGATTGTTAAGTTGATAATAATTGTATGCAATAACGAGATTAGGGTATTTTCAATGCAGGATATGGAAGTGAACATTTATCACAATATCATATCCAAATTGAAAAATATACTATGTAGTTGATAAATTTATGTATGTTGAATGAAATATTGTAGATATAGTAAAAATATAAAACCTATGTAAAATGATAAAACCTATGTTGGTAATTCTAGTTTTATGGTTTTCATAGCAGTAATTTCCTTTCGGATAAACTTTTTATTATAATTTTCATCGGATTTTATTCACGGATTCATATTAGATATATCAAGATCAAGAATGAAAAATTTTTTAACAATAATTTCACAATTAATTTGTGAACTTCCGTAAATTCGTAACTGTATAAAATAATACTTTCATTATATTTTTTTTATTTTATTTTTTGTTTCGTCATAAAATTAATTAGGCATTCAAATGACAGCTCCTGTCAACAAAAAAATAAAAACAAGTACAAAAAACAACAAATGTACTCAATTAATTACAATACATTTGTAGTAATTTGTGTAAGATTCCTGGGAATACAAATATTTGATATTACGCAGGCAATTATAATTTTTTAATTACCCAATTAAAAGTAATACATGATTTACATCAAATCGAATTTTCCCATAACAACAGGTCGATGGTCAACATACAAAAAAAACAACTCTATCGAATACGAGTCAAACAGTTGTTTGTGCGTTTTAAATGCAAATAAAATAATTAATTTAAATAAAACCAGATTCGTATTAGTTTTATTTGTGCGTCGAACGAAAATTATTCGCCCTCTGTTATTATTCGTCACGTAACTCAAACAGCTTTCCTATCACCACGTGGACTTATTCGCGTGGCTTTTCCGGCCTTTTCCTCGCTATTGACTCTTGTCGCATTTAATTAAAAAAGTAAAAGGGGGAATTTTCTTTCAAGAGTCCGCGTTTAATGCGCCTACGTTATTGTAACGAATGAAAAATAATAACTTGAAACGTTCCGTTTCTTCCGAGTTTTTTATCTTTACATGCTAATAATAATTAGCGGAGCAATTACCGTAATTAAGCAAACATTTTTGGTATTGACCCGAATTGCAGGATTAGTTTAAAAATGATTAAATTGTTGAGGCAATTTTAGGGTGCCTACTAATTATAGATTGCTTTTTAATTAAACAGGATCGGTTTAGCTATCATTGAAGAGAAAATTATATTGTGTTTTTAAAACGATACAAATATAAGTATATTTATTGCAAAATCTAAAATACGATCCTGTTTTAAGTTAGTTTATAACTATCCAAACTATCTTCTAATTAAACGATACTATAAACAATGTTCATAATAATCTATTTTCAGTGCGGTTTTGTGCGATAAAACGTTGACATTGACTTTCGAAAAAGCTTTAAATGACGATTTACGGCGGTGGGATTACCTACAAGTAAATCCCCGGATTACGGGAGGTTATGAAAAATATTGTGCCGAGTTAAGGGTGTGTTATTAAAGGGAAAATTGCATTTCTATTGGTTCTATAAAAAATGTCGGACAAATTCCCGTTTTTGGATTATTTGAAGGATTTTTTGGATGGGAGAAATCGCTCGTGCCAGCTTACAGAAACCTCTGGAAACTTACTTGAAAAAGATGGTAGGCTTTTTAAAATTTGGCCTGTATGCATTTCCTATGAAAATTCCGCATTTGTGCTAACTTATCGAACTCGCCTCGTATTTTTTGTGTTCGTTCATTTCATCATGCAGTCGAAAAATAAACCTAACCGATAGGTTTTCGCATTTTATCATAGCAATTCAAACGATTCTCGTCGATTCAAATAAAAACCGAGCAGGTTGTGAAACATCTGGTTCTCTCCGGCGATTGTTTCCGTCTGTTCGAATTAAAATCTAGTGTCCCTGCAATTTTCATCGAAATTTATTTTCGCTTCGATTTCGTCGAGCATTGTAATAGAGCCTTATGAACGAGAAAACGCCAAAGGACGAATTTAATAGAATGTTTTACGAGTAATCGAATTACCTCCAAGTATATAGGGTGTCTCGAATATTTTCCTGCTAATACGAATTTTATTATACGATGTTCATCGCCCACGTAGCTTCAACTTTACCTGAATACTGCCATTTAAAAATTTCCTTTCTTTTTGGAAATATAACATCCTACAAATTCCAATTACCTAATTTAATTTGAAGGAAAGTTTCCCTGCGAATCGGCGACTGTAAACTTTTCGTTCGAATAGAAAACTCTGCCCGTCGACACTCGACCGGTTTTCTATCCGAGAAGTAATTAAAACGGCGCTTATTAAAAAGTTCGATCAAATCGGAAATTTTCAAAATCCCGCGATAAAGCGCAATCGGAAATTTTCATCAAATGTCATCAATGTCAATTCAACCGCATGATTGATGCTCGAAACAAAAATTTTGAAAAACTCCATTAAGTCCGTCTATAATCGTATTTTTGATTTTTTTATAGATTATAATTAGATTTCATTATAACTATTTAAAAATTATAATTACTTAGAAAGTATTAATTTTTACTAAACGTACCTTCTGAATGCATTTTTTTCTGTAAATTATTCTCAATTTAATATCAATTGTATCAAAAAATGACAATTTGACAGATTCTGCCTCCTTGATAAAAAAAGTTTTTTCACAATTTTTACACATCATTGACACAGCTCTTTATGATATAATTTCATTTCGTTTAACATTCACATGCAGGTAAAAGGGCGTTTTTACTACTTACCCTCTAAATACTCGTACTTTTAAATTATTCACAATTCACATGCATTATATCGAAACATGCCAATTAGTCATTTCAGTTGATAAAATTAATTAGACAGATGATTCTGCCTACTAGGTTTTTTACGATTCTTGACACATTATTGACAGCTCTTCTTGACATGATTTTATTCCGTTTAACATTCATATGGGTAAGTACATTTTAACTAAGCACCTTATTCTAAATCACATCGAAAAAATAACAATTTGACGTTTAGCTAGATAAAAATAATTTGACAGATTCTGCCTACTAGATATAAAAAAGTCTTTTGACACAACATTGACTACCAGCTCTTCATAACATGATTTTATTCCGTTTATTCATATGGGTAAGTGCATTTTTACTACGCACCTTATTCTAAATGTTTTTTTTCTGTCAATGTTATTCTCATTTCTCATCACATCGAAAAAATAACAATTTGACGTTTAACTAGATAAAAATAATTTGACAGATTCTGCCTACTAGATATAAAAAAGTTTTTTGACACAACATTGACAGCTCTTCAAGACTGACGATTTCATAAGGTATCATATTAAAATATTAGTTTTTTTTTCAGTTCTAACGTGCCCAGTGCACTTCGATGGCTGGTCCTGCTGGCCGGAAACTCCTGCCGGTTCCACGGCCAACCAGTCCTGTCCGGATTTCATACCGGGATTCGAGGCGGCGAGTAAGTAACATGTCTCTATCGCGAGAAAACAAACGCACGTAATAAGTTTGAAACTTTTATATGCGTATAAAGCACGAAATAGTGAAACAATGTCGAATATTTTACGACTCGAGCAGCCTTCGGGCCGCGTGCATTATTGTTTTTGCTTTCGGAATTGCCTCTACAAAATTTTAATGAAGCGTTTAATGTTTAGGGCGATAAAACGGTAATAATTATTCAAAAGGTGTTTGGAACTTTTAATGAGTGTACATTGGTTATTATTACCCTTTTGTTACGTTTTGTTAGACAGAAGGAATAAACCGATAATGGCTAAGTATCTGTACATTTCCATCAGTTAATTGTTTCGTTTTCATTGCCAATTCAAACTCAAGCAAAGTACTTTTGTTAATTTAACAAAATTCTATTAAAAAAATTCTTTAAAAAAATTCCTCTGAAAGTGGACCAAATTGTCAGCAAACTTCGTGCCTGCTGGAAACTTAAATAATCGCCCATTAGCGATACAATTAATTAATGACACAGCAGGAGGCCGTTAAATTGAAACTCCAATTCCTGCTAGTATACTTATTAAAATTTCAACAAAAATTTCGAATCAAATAAGCACATCGAGACGACTTTCCAAGATATCTCGGAAAGGGTAATAAAATAAAAGCCGTTCTGTTAGGGTTTCGGGTTAATTTATTTCCTCTCGGTGAAGTATCCAGTATTCCCCCGGCATGTAAAATGAGACTGACATAATAAAATACCTGGGGAATTTTACATTCTCGGCATGCACGACTGCTCGAAATAAACAGAGTCATTAAAAAACTTTATTAATCTCTTAGTTCTTAAAAACTTCAGGAATACAACGGATTTGTATATAAGAAATGTCGATTTTTCAGTACCTTTGATGTGAATTAATTAAGTCGACAAAGTCGTTATTTAAATTAATTAAAAACATATAAAAACCTTGGTAGTCATTAATAATAATTTTTATATAGATTAGAGTTTGTTTAGGGGGAAATTTCAGTTAACAACAGGAACATTTCGCTTCCACCTCGTACACACACTTGCTCACTAAACTTGTTTGTTGTATGCACAGTGTTTCCGTAACTCCCATAATAAACACCACTCAATCATAGAGATATGTTAAAGTACCGTAGTCGATGATTAATAGAGCTATAAATCGGGCACAATCTAGTAAATACAAACTAACAAATGGACCGAATCCAAGTAAACCTGTCAATTATTATGGTGCATTACAGATACAGTTTACTACAAATGCGAAGAGGACGGTACTTGGTATTTCCACGAGCCCTTCAACAGAACTTGGGTGAATTACACGACTTGCGTGAACACCGAGGATTTATCGGTGAGTCGCGTAAATTAAAAAAAAATGGACCTAATTGAATTATTTACTCCGCAGTTTCGCACTGTCGTGATAATCATCCACTCGGTGGGATACAGCATTTCTTTAGTAGCCCTGCTGATCTCGCTCGCCCTTCTCTTCCACTTCAAGTAAGTTACTGTACACAATCTCGACGATTTTTTTTAAATATTTTACTCAAGACTTAACTGAATTTTTGTGCACGAATTACTTGGTGTAAAGTTCGCTTTAATGCATCGTGTGCCGCAAATGATTTACAAACTTCTAATTTTCGGCGGTGCATTTTGACTAGATTAAAATGCAAATCCCTCTAATTGCGAGTGCTCCGCTCGGCTTTGATAATAAATTCCCTACCGGAATCGTTCGCTAATCGCTTGCTAAGCCGAAGGTTAATTTCATTTTTTTCTCCCTTTAATTACCTTTCCAATATTTTTTTTTTGAATTTTTCACAGGTCCATAAGATGCGCCCGCATTTTGATACACATGAACTTGTTCGCCTCGTTCGCCATCAACAATTTCCTGTGGTTGTTGTGGTACTATTTGATGTTCGACGAGACCGAATTGCTATTCGCAGCGAACAAGGTAATTCATTCAATAATAAATGCAGTTTATAAAATATGTAGGGAGAAAATTTTTATTAGATATAGTTGAAGTTGAAGTTTTGGTGCGCGTTCGTGGTTAATTCCCATTGAAGGTGATTTATTACAGTTTTGTTCAAACATCGGAGACATTAATTACGTGCTTAACCCCTTTGAATAACATTGCAAAGTTCGATAAATTCGAGCAGGGCCGGATCCTGTCATAAAACAGCCCTTTGTCCAGCTAATTGTTTTCGTAAAAGTAGGGAGAAAGCACTGTTGTGGTTATTGAATACATATTGATCCAATCGATAAATATTTATTACTTATTTATTAGTATAAATAGTAGAGCGAATAAATTGTATAAATAAACTAGTAAAATGGTGTCAGTTGATTCTCGCATCGATACATCATAAAATTTCGGATTGAACGTTTCGAACACTGGATGATTTAGCATCGTGATAAATCATTTAGGCATCGAAATCCATAAAGTAGGATAAATACTAAGGGAATTAAAACAAATTTTTCGTCCTCTATTCGTTTAATTAACGTTTCTTGAACAGACGCGAATTAAAAAAAATGTAGCAAATTGGATTCGTCGAATCGAAATTTCGGCGCGGATAAAATGAAAATTCTGTTGATTTGTCGAATTATTGTCGAACGAAAGCCCTCTAATAAAACACCCGAAAATCTACTGTATTTAATTAAAATACTTCGGTCGATGTGAATTAATTACGATCAAAATTGGCTGGTCTTGTATATCTTACAAATACAGCGTGGTCTTTCAAAAAAAAACCTTTATCGAAGTAAGTAGATTTCATATTTTTTGACGGTCGAATTATTCCACCCTGTATCGAGCATCCTTTAAACGACACACACATTTCTTATCTAACATAATACCAGCGTATTTCGTTTGAAATTTTCCATTTTCCCTTCATTTATTCGATTCTTGCAAACGCTCACCGATCTATTTTCGCCTCGTGATTGATACGTTTCGACCGAAATGAATAGAATTCTCCGAAAACACGGTCTTCCGAACGAATTTCATTTAACCCGAGAAAACATACAGGGCAATTCGCGAAATTCTCACACCAAATGCTCTACGCAGTTACAGTATTTACCGATCTCCCCCCGTATGTTTCTTTGTAATTTCGTTAAACTCCAAGACGTATCGCCTTTTTCATCGCCCTGCGGACGGGACGTGGAAGTTAATTGGCGAAATGAAAATATAATATTTTTTTGTCTCGAACAATTAGGAACAATTAATTCCGAAATCTTCTCGGCGTCGAGACGGGACGGAATAGGAAGTTGCAGAAGTGCTTTCATTCGAATTTCAGGGCATTACAAACGCGGATGCAAGAGGATTTCGTAATTTAATTTTTATGAATCTTCCTTGCAACGCGAAGGGCCCTTCATTGTCCTTTTAGGAGCTTTTCAATGTCGGAAATAGCAATCCCGTTTAGGGATTTTCGGTGAGATTCGAAGGCTTTGCAGTATACGATTAATAATTAATTTCCCTGATGCCAATTAGCCGATGGAATTCACACGAAAACCTACTGTTGTCTTAATGATATCTATGGGGTTCGTTCGGTTCGATTCAGGAATTTTTTAATTAGGAAATTCGCTCGAATACGGGGGCTTAATTATAAAATGCGACCTAATTCCCGTTTACCTATCGATTTTAATCGGTTATCGACAGTCGATAATTACGTTATTGTGCGCCCTTTTTTTTTCCTCTCAACTCCATCCACTATCATTCGATTAATTATTTCGATTAAATGTTTTCGCGGAATTTTCAGCCCTGGTGCATCGCCCTTCACACCATCCTCTACACGTGCCTCATATCGAATTATTCGTGGATGCTGTGCGAGGGACTCTATCTGCATACGGTGCTGGTGTGGGCCTTCATATCCCAAAATAATCTACTAATTGCGATGATATTAATAGGCTGGGGCATCCCTTTGGTGACGACGCTCCTCTACGTACCTGTCAGAAGTTTAATGGGCGAGGGAGACGAACTTGCCATGTAAGTTTTGATGTTGATTACTCCTACTTACTTAGCTTTGTTTAGTTTAGAGCAACAAGGTATTATGTAAGTGTTGTAGTATCACTTAGGGGGGTTTGTTGGGGTGGAAAATAATAAGGTAAAGAAATTTTGTTTGCTAGAATTGTATTTGTACGATTCTAAGTAAAAACAACGGAACCTTTTGTGTTGTTCGAGCGATTTTTCATCGACAAAACAACTTCCGAATTTTCCTTATTTGAACAATTAATCGAAGGATATTTTCCCGATATTTACCTTACAGTTTTCCTTTCGAACGAACCATCGACCATCGATCGCGAACGAATGGAAAACAAACAGCCGTCCTGGTGTAAGTAATGTCTGTATACACAGAGGAATTGCGCTACTTTCCCGAGAGTTAGCCGGGGAGTTAATAAAAGGAAAGTAGGGAGTCTTGTTCGACGATTCTCCGATGGTTCGTAATCTTTTTCCTTCGCCTCCTAGGTGAACAATCAAGCTTCGTTTTCGCCCGAGAGCTTTCAGGTGTAGACGGGATCGTTAAGTAATCGATAATATAGAGTCAGTGTACCGGTAATAGGCCAGGTACCAGTAGTAGAAATATTCAAACTTCTACTGTGGAAATTTAAGAATTTTTTAAATTTTGTATTACCTAGCTAACCTCGCTAATCTTAGGCACCTTCCATCGTACAATCTTGATCATTAATTTTTTTTATGCTTGGTGTACTTGAAGAACTTGGTCAATGCAATGGTGGTGCAATCTTAGTTATTAACAAAATACAAATAATATTCGTACATATTGTGAAATTGAATGCAAAGTAATGTCATTTAAAGAGCATACTATAAATTGAATCAATATAATTTACCATAAGCAATCCCTTTATGTAATTAAAGGGACACTAATAACATTTCAGTGCGGACAAACTATCACTCAAAACTCGAATCAAACTAAAATTATAATCCCCGTAATGGATGACTCCTCTTCGACCGAACTTCTCGATTTGTTTCCCCCGGCTCGCACGTACGGCTAATGCGAGTTGCCCGAACAAAATTAGTGCCAAGCCATAACAAAGACGAATGGCTTCAGGTGTTTTATCAACCATTTTTTTCCCGTTTTTCCATGCAAAAACGTACGCGTGTTATTTTACCGCGAACTTTGTTAGTTTACCAGCTGCACGCTGTATACATATCCGATGCTCGATACGGTCTCGGTAGTTTATTTAACGCAATTTTCTCTATCGCAATTTCCCCGCTTCCTTTTGTATACATCGAGCGTCGGAGCTTTTCATATCTAACCTCACATCCATTCGCCGGGGATTTACCGAAATCCGAAGACGTGCCGGAACAGTTATTACAAGGAAATTTCCCTTCGCTGGCGATGACGCGGCGAATTTCCGCATCCACTAGCAATTATCACCGCCAGATCGCCTAATCTGATGGGTATATAATTCAATGTTTAAGTTGGCCGCACTGCCAGTTCGACGGGACGGAGCTGTTGGCGCTACTGCGAGCGCCATTTTTTTTTCGAAATCTCCACGGACTGGCGACCGGAATTAGTTTCACAACGTTGGGTGAATGTAGATGGACGCGGTCGGGGGCGGTTCGGCCCCCTTCCCGCGCTCCACTCGTCGAATATAATTCGAATCGACGACTTTTGATAGGGCTTTTTTTAGAAGACGGCGCGAAAAGGACTAATTTAATGCGGAATTGACGTGGATTTTCACAGCGCGGGTTAGAAGGGAGAATAATTAATTCGGCGTGGAAATGAATTACCGATGCGTTTTTCTTTTAAAGCGGGAAATTCCATTTCGTGCCAAATGGATTTTCATAATTATTGCTCAAACTTTGGGAAATCAAAGAAAAAGAGGGTTTTTTTTATACAAGATTCCAGAAACTTCTCGAAATGGAAATATTGTAATTGATTATACAGGGTGTTAATTAATTGAGTGCTGATACTTCAAGATGTGAATATTTAGATGATTTTATGAAGAAAAGTTTATATCAATATATGTCCTAAACCTCTTAGATTTCGAAGTACACGGTGTTACAATTTTTAGAAAAAAAAAACTTTTCTATCATAATTTTCTTATTACTCCAGATATTTTTATGAACTAATAGTCCAATTGAACGGGTAATTATTGCAACCTTCCCACTCTAACCACTGTTATTTTTACAACCCTTCTTTTCTTTCGATACAACGAAAAGTGAGATGAAAAATTCATTAGAACTTATCTGTATAATAGTGAACAAGAGGCTCTGTAGAGAAATTAGAATGTTTATACATAATTTAATAATAACGCACCGTTGTTTGCGATGATACGCGTTTTAATTGGTTTAGCCGAATAAACGGAGGTTTTTCGTCTCCACTCTCGCTTTTCCTCCCGAAATTTGTTAATTTAATTTTCCTCGGAATCCCTCGTCAACGGGATTCCTCGCTTAAAACATAATCTAATTATTAATAATACACTCGCGCTGCGTATAATGTCCCTCCCGCGCCCCACACCCTCGAGCATATACATTTCCCAATACGCACCTGTTGTTTTCATCTCCTCGCATTGACAGCTATACAGTTGACAATTGACAATTGACGATTGACTCTTCGCCGATTGGAAATTCCAATTAAACTCCAATCGAACGCACAACATTTTAAATTAAATCCCCGAAAAAAAGGCCCGATTTTATTGCGTTTCATTCGTCTTGTTACCGATGCTATGTATCGGCGTCCCCTTTGAACCTCTCTTCCACACGCGGGCCACCGATTTACCGGCCTTTTGGCCGGTTCTTATTGCCCGATGGTCGATCGTTCATCAAAATCCAATATGAGATATTCGAAGGGAATCGCCGGCTTCGGGGGTGGGTGGAATGTAAGGGTGGTTTACCGCTCCAAAATTAAACGAACTTTCACGGTTTGTTGTCGGTCAACATTGAAATGAAAGTGGCCGAATAGCCGATTAGCCGAGGCCTGTACGAAGAAAAAACATTGAAATGTAGAGCTTATAAGGGTTGATTAGGGGAAATTCAGATCAGATGAGGTCTAAACCGGAGAAAAAAAGTCGCTGTGCTAAAATTAAAAAATAATAAATTTTAGGTTTAGGACATATGTTTATATGAAGTTTTATTCTTTAAATGGGTCCAAGAATCACCCTATTAAATATGTCATTATGGAACACCCTGTATATTTTTCGTCCTTCTTCCTTTTCGCTGGGAAAATCTTAGGCATTATGTTCGTTACAGTAATACATCGTGTTATCCTCGGTATGGGACGCACGGTTTCCTCCGAAGTGGGATTAATGAAACGGGAAAAATATGATTTATTATCTATCCGGGACCTGGAATATAAATAAATCGCTCGAGGGGAATGTTATTTATTCCCGAAAATGCGAAAGGGTGGTTTTATTCCCGTATTGTTTCGCTACACAAAATAATTCACCCTTGAAAGCAACGTTTCAGATCATTAATTTCGGTAATCCTACAGGTTTCTGTTGTTTGATGTAATCCAGATGTTTACATGTTTGCAATACAAATGTTTTCTGGATATTGTTTCTATTATCTATATCAAAAATTAGAAAAAAAATACAATAAAAGTTGTTGCGAGCTGTGGATTAATCTATGAGAGATGGTGGAAAGTGCATTGTGACACGACTCGCCTAATTTTTATTAACAGCTTTTTCACGTAAGGAAAACTCTAAATAAAAGCCGTAAATCCCGATTATTACACATAAAATGCGATTCGAATACGACCGAAGGCGCGATTTGATTATCTCCTGCATTTTACGAACGAGCTTCAACGATACCGGAAAATCTTAGATGGAAATCCGACGTGCATCTTTCGATAATGAAATTTTTATTATCCATTCGGATATGTATTTCAACCCCTAGAAGCGCGCCTATATCGAACCTAATTTATTGATAATAATTTATTGCCTACGTCGAGCATCGATAAAAATAGAAGGAATTCATACGAAAATTGGTATGAAATTTGCCAAAAAGAGAAAATAAAGTATCGAGATGGCTACAATCTTAGGCAAAAGTAAGTATACCTATTAAATCCGTACTTTTGACTACGAGTGTATTTATTCAACAAAACATAAACAAGTAAAATTCATATCTATAAATTAAGCACATTTGTAGGTGTATCCTTAGGGAATACATGCTAATTTATTACCTCCGGGTACAGCGAAAATATATCTCAGGAATTGATTGCATTTGTGTTCGTATTCTCGATTGTGTGGCGAACACACAAAACATTGTCCACTCGATATCCATTAACGTAACATATTATTTTCACTTTCATCCAACGGGAGAAAGCGGCTTTTAACATCGCAAGTACTAATCAGCCCTGAGGTGGTTCGAATTTCGCGAACGCCCCGGGAAATTCCTGGCTGGAACTGGCGCAGTAATCACAAATATTGACTGCAGGACGTCGAGTTATCAGTCATTCGGGAATGAAGCGCGTCCCGCAGGTATAAAAAAAAACGCGATTTGTTTCCTATGTATATCGGCATAGATTCGTCTCCATTAGGGCGCACATCCCGCCTGTTCTCCATGGTAACTCGATCCGATTTGCATCACAATGGATTTTCGAATGAAAACCGTACAAATTTCAAAGTGCAACGTTATGGAAAGAGACGCGTAGCGACCCAAAAAAAAAACCGGAATTAATCGATAATTTTTCAGGTGTTGGATAAAGGAAACCCGATTCGAAATCATCAATCAAATACCAGTAGCAGCGACTATTATCCTGAATCTGTTCTTCCTTATCAACATAGTCCGGGTGGTGGTGGTGAAGTTGAGGAGAGGACCCGCTGAAGGTCAGGGATCCGGAACCTCCAGGTCATCTTTGCAGGCCTTAAGGTAACTAATTCCAACCCTTTCAATAGTATTGAAGTTATTACAGCAAGATGGATTGTATGTGTTTCAGAGCTACTTTACTTCTAGTACCCTTACTGGGATTGAATTTCCTGCTGACGCCCTTCAGACCGGAAAACGGCGACGCCTGGTTGTATTTCTACGATCTATTATCGGCCGTCACGACGTCTTTCCAGGTAAATATTACTACCACAACTCGACCATCTCTTCTTTCAACAATCTCTCGTTACTAAAAACGCCACGCGCTCGTGAAAATTGGATGCGATCGTGGTGATTAGAATACGCAAATGTTTGCGTATACTTGTCAGTTTACCGACGGCTTGGGACGCGTCCCAAGCGTCTCGTTGGGCGTCGAATGCTCCGTTGCGTGCTGTGGTAAATATGGGCGAGGAGGCCGTAAAACTTTCGTTATGATAGGGGTGAATGATTCCCGGTTATTAAGCACTTATGGTTTGTGTTTTAAAAAATTGTAGACGAAACAAACGCTTTCTTTCGATTAAATATTTAAAATAACGTTGTATACGGAGGGAACAGTCGAGGAAAAACAATCGCGTTATTCGTTATTCCTTTTTTTTCCCTCCTTAAATTAAATTCTTTTGCTTGGAGATTCCTCGCAAAGTGAAAAGCGTTCGTTAAAAGGACCTTTTAATGGCTTTTAGCGGTTCTTTTTTCAGCCTTTCTTTTTTTTCGTTTTTAACAAAATTGTAGAAACATACAAGGGGTTAGGAAGACGCGTTTTTCGTTAATCGTTTTATTTACTTATGATATCGTTTTAATTAACATCACCCACGTTCTCTATAATCCACGAAAGATACGGCGCCACTTCGGTGAAAACGCCCGAGGGGACTTTTTCCATTCGGCGCTTATTGAAATCCAGCCTGTAACTGAGCACCCCGTAGATAATTCCATCCGCTACCAAAGGTCCGCCAGTGTCGCCCTCCGTTATGATAAATTTATCAGGAAAATCGGGACCCGTGCACGCCATCGTCTCACTTTCGAACGGTACTTTACCGTTCAAATCACGCACGTACTCCTCTATTAAATCCATACAATCTGCAAGATGTAATTTGTATAATAAAGCTGTTACTTAGGTACTTATTTAAGTACCTTTATCGCTCAACAAGGGTACTGCGTTGTGTTGTAACAACGAAGAACGTAACCCCCAACCGAGGAAATCTAGACGAGCAACTTGTGGTACCCATCCCTTATCTGGTAACCCGATTTTATTAGCGGATTCGTTAAACGTTATTTTACCATCGAGTTTAATTAGAGCTATGTTATGTAGAGAGGGCGGTTGCCTATGATTTGAAAAAGATAATTTAACTTGGTACTTTGGTACTATAGTCACTGAACGGGTTTCGGATTCAAGATTATTTATTGCTAGTGCTAAGAAACAAGTAAAATTTGGAGGTACCAGCGTTGCAATTTACTGTAAAATTCTTAATCCGAATAACCCGCGTAAGTTCAGTGAATACAAGTACCCAATTTGCGGTACTTACGTGTTGTTGTAATGCGGATGCAACACAACCCTATCTACCCCAATTCTCTGCCTTGCATTGCTGAATTCGTATACATAGCCCACATCAACTGCTTCGAGGGTCTCCCAGGTGGTACCGCCGTCGACGCAGGAGGCGGCTGTGAGTACCCATTCTTCGTTTAAAATGGTGCCGCCGCATGTGTGCATATAGGCCTTGGCGTAAGGGTGGCTGTTTATTTTTAGGGAGGCCGTGTAAGGGTAGTCGCCCAAACTGGCGTCAGAAGGGTCGCTGAGGGCCCTTTGGGGTAGCCATACTGGAAGAAGATGTGCTTTAGAGTACTGTAGGAGGAATTTTCGGGGATGAGAAAAGTTTTGTGTTTAAGAAATCATAGTTTCTTACCTTCAATGAGCACTAAGAAAAGTAATTTGTACATTCCAGGCAATTTAACTGTTAACTTACCTAAATTTATATAAAACTAAAAGCTATTCTTAAATATATTTATTTACCTTCTGATATCATTGTGTCAAGATACAAGTGATAAGAGAAATATATGATCAAATTTTTACCGATTTTTATCCGTTTTTTTTTTTCTATCAGTTTATATACAATTTATTTAATTTAATTGTGGTATATACCCAAATCATTTGAAATAGACAAATATAGGAGGATTTTCGTATTATTAAGGTATATAGGAAACTCGTTTATTTTTCCGGAATATGTAACGTGCAAGAAAATTGCATATATTCTTCCCACAAACGTGCATTTTTCCAGGGAAATATGATATGAGAAACTACCCGAGAGTAAATTTACGACGTTCCAGGATCGTATATCCTATCGATGCAGATCTATAAAACTTTTTTACTCGTTTTAATACCCCGTATTAGCCCCGAAGCGGAAACATTTTATTAAGCAGATTTCACGAAATTTACCAATTCGACTTCGCAAAGTACAAAGATGGGATAAAGTTAATTATAACAGTAACACTGTCAATATCGATTTTTCGACACAAAAGACACTTGTTCCGTCTTTCCGGGTCTTCCCTCTACCTATTATCGATAATTAACTACTAATTAAAAACCTTAACTAACCGTGGACTCGGATGTTTCAGGGTCTTTGCGTCGCCATATTGTTCTGCTTCTGCAACGGGGAGGTAAGTCTTTCGTCAATAAAACCGTTTTTATACACCCGCACGGAACAACCGTTCGATTTTTTTCGATACTTTTGTGTGAATGAATAATTCGTTTAATTAGGTGCAAGCTCAAATCAAAAGAAAATGGAACGTCGCGACGTTCAGGCCGAGAACCAATTCCTGCAGCGCCACTACTGTATCGGTACGTAAGGTATAAACAAATTAACATCTACTAATATATCGAAATTAAGCTAGTATGTACTTCTTTTGTACGTCTTAATCGAATGGCTTTGCAACAAAACGTTTATTTATGCATTAGGTGTCTAATTTGCGTTACTCGGAGGAGAGGGAAAGGATTCTGGTAATGCTATTAGATTGAGGAATCCCATAGCGAGTAAGATGCTTAACAAACGATTAGGTAGCACAGGGATTAAAACGATACGCTTCGTTTAAATTACGAAACGGGTTGCACTTTCGGGAGGCACATAACTAATTTTTTTGTTGAAGCTTCTACTAACTTTCCTCGCACTTTTCTTCTTATTTTTTCACGTCTCGACTACTTCATTAGGCGTGAATAAGTAATTGTTTTTCAGTACGTCCGGTCTTCGTATCCGACGAACGGTAAAGACAAAGTATGACTAGGGGCCCTTGGACGTAGGGCTTCCCAATGGGTGGCCGACAGGAGGACCTCGACTGTGGTGGTGAAGAACAACGATATCTCGCCTACACCAGAAGTTCAGTGCGTTTAGAACCATCGGGTGCTGGAGATTGAACAATGTATGAACGGGAATCCGAGGAATTACCTCGATTCCCGCGCTTTAATCGTGATACGTTGTCATTATATACCAAACCAATATCGAAGTTTGTACGCTAATGTCGAAGATAAACAGGGCGCAGAGCGGAGTTATTGTAAATTATATATTCCGTTTGCGAGCTCCGCGAAGGCCTAACCGAGGTACATTGTGAATGTAAATATCTAGCACATTGTCGTTCCTTGTCCTAACAATAATTGTTTGAATATTTTTATACGATCAGTTGCGTAGAACTTGTCGAATAATTGTACCGGTGTATTGAATGTATCTTAAATGTACGTAGCTCTAATATGATTTAATGATATTTTTGTGTACTGAACATTTGTAAATGTACTTAATGTAAAGTTAAAACAACAGAAAACGTACTTACAATATATGTACAAATATTTATTATTTTCCTAAATATACCGATTAAAGTGTTGTAAAAGAAATATTGAACAAACAACATGGAATGCTATGGAAACGATTGTTAATAAAACTGACGTATAACAGTGACAGCTTTCTTGTCACATAACTTGTCATTTATCCGGCTCGATGTAACATTGGGGTAGGGGCGAAATCTCGCAGTAAAAGTGATACTGTGTTGGATTTTTTGAAAATTTCTTGGTACGAACGCGGCGCCTAAATTACCAGTCGACATGCTGCTGCTGGAGACTCCCAATCCGCATTTCATACCCGGGTACGTAAGCGCTTATTCGATCGGTTTAATTTGTGTGTAATCCACGATTTCAGGTACACGGGCTTTTGTCCCCAGTATAAATATCGCATTGGCGATACCTACGGCACCATTACGCACAAAGTGCTGTTAGATCCCGCTGTATTTCACGCCGAAAAATTGGTGTTATCTGATAGATTTGCCGACGATTATCACGTAAGATAACTCATGCGTTTTTATCAGATCGCGGCTCTCCTCCACAAACAATATATTATATCCGAATTGTATAATAAAACGACTGTATTTAATAGGTTGTTCGGCCACCTTTAAAAGATATAGATATAGTAAATGATAGACATGGAGACACGATTTATAAACATCCTATGGTTCCTGGATACGAAGGTGAACTTGCACGTGTATTATTAGTTACATATTAAAAAATATGGTTTGTAGGATTCGTGCCTCGAGAGCACGGGATATTCGGTCAAAGGTTTACAGTGCAAGCCACCGAAGGCCTTTCGGATTTCGAAAAATCCCAAATGCTGAAGAGGCAGAATCTGAACGAAATAACCAAAATCGGCTATCTGCAAGACAACAAATGGGATCCGAAAACACTAGACGAGAAGCAGGTAAATTTCTGTAGACGCGTGGTAATACAACTAGTAAATGCGGTGTATTAATTTCCAGCTGGGCCAGAGCGTGTACAAGTTGCCTTTGATGGAAGTGAGGCCAGAATGTGCGGGATTGCTGAGGAATATACCGATAACTGAAGCGCCCATCACGCCTCCCAGCCACTCTGCCAGCCCCTACTTTTGCGATAACGACAGGCCCGATAAATACCTCAAAGCTGGTAATGTATTTACTGTATTGTATAAAAAAAAGAATATTTTCGATTTTTGAAAAATTTCGTCCTATACTCAATTTAAAAACTATAAGGAGCATTTTGAAAAGCCAGACGCACACCCGAAAATGTTGCTAGAAAATTTGCAAGGCTGCAAATTTAATTACACCTCTTTTATTTAAATAAAATTGATTTTAATCTCGCAATAATTATATAAAAGAAGGAATGAATTAACAAATCACCTAAATACGACATATTAAAGACAAACAATTTTAACCCCAAAAAGGTGGTAAATGAAAATAAAGTTTTACAGCGTCAACTTGACTCGTAATTAACCAATAAGCAAACGCGAGTGTTGCCAACTTAAATTAAAATCGTTCCTCCTAGTTTCTAAATAGAGTATATGTATATGACAGTTTCATTTTAATGTCGTATAAGTGACACTTTAACATCGTCTGTAAATACTAAATTTTTGTGAATAATCAAATTAAAAAAAATGTATAATTCGGTATTCGAATCGTACTTACAGCAACGAAGATATGTCGTCGGTCACGGAAAAAGTCGGTATTTTACATCAAAACAAACATCCCATTTTATTAACTTAAGTTTAACGCTAAAATGTATTAACATACAGATACAAAAAATAATTATTAATCGAATTTTGATTTAGGATTTACCGGGCACGTGCCGTTCGGCTACGCCTCGTTCGGCAAAACCAACCAAGAGATGACGAACAGCGCTCTCTGCGATTTCACGTCGAATTATCGAAAGCGATTGAGCAACGAATGGGCGCCGGTGCAAATCGACAGGCCCAATCCCCCCGTCCTGATACAACCCACTGAAATTTACCACAAACACATCGGACAGATGCCCAACTACGGGGGACACATCCCCGGCGCGATATTTAGGTACATCTACAAGGGGGGACATGGAATTTTCGACTGGTTGCGCTGCTTTCATTGTAATTTTTTTTAGATATGGTAAAACGTACGGAAACGATTCGAGGGATGCCAAGCGATGGTTAAGAGGCGACTTTTCGTCGTAGCATTAATTCTATTATAGGATTACGAAATAGTTACTGGTCTTCCAAACGAACAGGAGCGCATTTGAAGGAAGTACGTTCGATTACAAAGCTGGCGCCAATTCAAATTTGCTCAAAACGAGCGCGGCTTCCTCGAGAGTTTGTCGTTTCTAAAAAATAAAAATAAAGGATTATACGGAAGGGAGGAGACGCGATGATTTCACGTACTTTCGCGAAGCAAAATCTAACTAAATTCTCGCGTTTCTTTCGGCCGGTTTCCGCGCAGAACACGGTCACGGGGAACGCTTGTAATCCGTGACACCTCGCCAGCCAGTTCACGAATTTCATGTCGACGAATTCGCCCGATTCGCCGCTCAAATCGACGCGGCTCGCTGCGAATGAATCGAATTAGTAATTAACCGGGATTTGTGGTGATACAAGAATACCAATTTCAGATACATCGGCCAACACGAACATTCCCCCTTCGGGCAGAATGGGTTCCATTTTCGTCTTGAACAGCATTTGCACCAGGTAGTCCCTTTTATCTCTCAGCTCGTTCGCCATTTCGTCGAAATACGAAACTCGGGCTTCGGTTTCGAGCATTTTAGCGAAAGCGATCTATATAAATAGCCAATACAATTAATTACATACAATACACCAAATAATTTACGTACTTGTAGAGGTGTACTGGCATTATATACGACGCGCTGATGGAGGGTTTGTAATTTTTTTAACAGTGTACCAGGACCGTACGCCCAACCAATTTGCCAGCCAGTAACACCGAAGGACTTTTCAGCCGCTCCTAAGGTTACAGTGCGCTCGAACATTCCGGGCAACGATGCTGGAAATAACAATTCAAATCCACATACGATATAACGAAATGTTTTTGTATTCCTCACCGATCCTGTGGTGATTGCTCGGCTTGTACACCATCCGCTCGTACACTTCATCAGATATGCAAATTAGATCATTCGCAATGCACATTTCGGAGATGAAGCGGAGTTCCTCGATATCGAAAACCTTTCCCGTGGGATTGTGCGGGGTGTTCATTACGATGGCCTTGGTTTTTTCGGTAAACAGCCCTCGGAGGGCCGCTTTGTCGAACGTCCAATCGGCGGACGTGCGGTTTTTGGTAACGCGGTTTGTCTGGAAGAGATAATTTATTGTTGGCGTGCGGTAAATTTATTCATAAATAAATTCTCACGGGCTTCAAAAGACTACTTGCCAGTTCCAAGCTTAAGTATTTGGGTACGCCGCCGGCCATTTTAACGAGTTCAACGAAGACCATGAAACATGGCTCGATGATGATGACTTCATCTCCGGGGGAAATTAGGCTCGTTAGGGCGCAATAGAGGGCTTCGCTCGAGCCTGCCGTGACTAAAATTTCGTTCTCCGGGTCCAAGTGCTTGCCTAAGAGTGGCGAGAAAGTGGTAGATAGAGCGTTTCTTAATCTTGGGTGACCCTAAAATATAAACGATAACACAAATATTGTTCACCGTAAGTTCAGCGAATGGAGTATAGTGAATTATACAATAGAATTTTACCTTAACGCTGGTGTATTGATAGTCTTCCGGGTTAGTTGATGAAAGGGCCTCTACTAGAGCATCGGTAACGAACTTTGATGGGAGGTAATTGGGGTAACCCAGTCCCAAATCGATGGGTTTGTGTAGCTTCATGAGTTTTTCATACTCTTTCCTAAAATAATTTTATGTACTTAATGAATTAGTTGTTTTAAGTAGTATACTAACAGGTAATTCCCGAAATGTTGATCGTCGTTCAGTCGTTCGATTGAAGACATTTTTGAGTTAAATTTACTTCTATAGTTTTAATATTTACTCGAATGAATAGTTTAAGTAAAAATGCCGATAACGGGCTGATAAGGAATTAATAATAAACGGTTATTTGTTTCCAATAAGTTTAATTCGATAAACAAGTCGTGAATATTTAAAGTATTTAATCATTTTCCTGTATTTTTCCACCTTTGTAGTATCTCCTCGGCTTGTCGTAGTGTTTCGTTATCCTGTAACGATTAAACCACGAAAGGAATTTTTTTAATAAAATCTAGTTAAATAAAATTACCTTTATAAAACAGTATCTAACAAAATTTTCCACGCAATGTTTATTGGGGCTGCTGTAAAACACTGTGGGAGGAATGCCTTGAAGACCCACTTTTTTCGACATCCACTTCGTAAATCTGTAATCTCTGTATTTATCCGTTTCGGAATTAAAATCCACTTTCGATTCTAGAAATTAATACTGCAATTCCAAATCGACTGTAATTATTTTCTTATATTACCGAGAGCAGACCAATCGGCTAGCACAAAGTAACCACCATCAGGTACCGTGGGCACCATTCCAACATCCTGTAGAATTTTAATCATATAATCCCGTTTCGCCTCTAAGTCTCTCACCAAAGAATTGAAAAAACACTCATCGCTGTCCATGCGATCCATTTCCTTTTCAAAAGCAATAGCCACGCTTTCCTAAAAATTGTAGATATTAAGCAAAGGGCAACTAATTATTGGTTAGTAACCTGAATAGGCGTAACACCCGAATAAACGCAATTTTGGTGCACCATTTGGAGATTTTTCATTAGATTAGCCGGGCAATAAGCCCAACCGACTTTCCATCCCGTCACACTGAACGTCTTTCCTGCTGATCCAACGGTAATGGTCCTATCCCACATTCCCGGCAATGTTGCTGAACAAAAACACAACATTTAACTCCGCTGTAAGATTTGCCAAGCAGCAAAAATACCCATCCTGATGTGCTTGTGAGGTTTGTACACCAACCACTCGTACACTTCATCTGATAAGCAAAGCACGTTCCACTTTTTGCAGAGGTTTGCTATTTGGGTCAGTTCCTCCATGGAAAGGACTTTGCCCAAAGGATTGTTGGGCGTGTTTACTATAATCATTTTAGTTTTTTCGTTGAAAGCGTTCTCCAGCTCGTCTTTATCCCAAACCCAGTCAGCCGAAGTGGGTAATCTACCAGTGACTTCTTTCTAAAATTTTATACTATTAACATCTATAAATTTATCGTCGAATACCATGAGCTTACTAATCTTAGAGGTACATATCTAGGTATACCTCCGGCGTAAGTTATCATAGGCTCGTAGCAATCGAAAAAAGGCTCTATCACTACAACTTCGTCGCCGACATCCGTGTGGCCTGATATAGCAGAAAAGAGGGCCTCGTAGGCCCCGCTAGTGGTGAGAATTTCGGTTCTTTCGTTAATTTGCCTGCCTATTAAGCTCGAGTACAACTTTGACAAAGCTTTTACTAGTCTAGGGTGTCCCTATAACGTACCTTTCGTACCATGATTATAATAAAGTAGGTATTCTACTCACGAATCCCCTAGTGAATTGGTGAAGCAACGGATTAGGGTCTACAGCCACTTGGGCTAAAGTGTCTGTTATGTATTCGGGCGGAGGATAATCTGGAAAACCTTGTCCCAAATTGAGCGGCTTGTAATCGATGGCCATTTGAATAAATTCGGTCCTGTAAAGCAATAGTTACAAAGAAATCTGATTATTAAATGAATTAGCAGTCTTACCAAACACTCGGCTCTGCACCGGCGTATCTCATTGGCAATTTAAATTTTTCGGCCTCTTTAGACATCTCGATATGGTTGTAAAAATAATTATTCTTAACAGTGGGCTAGTTCGCACCTGTGCTCTACGCACTAATCACTACTAATATAACCTTACTCAAGTGTAAATCCCCTTAATTGGATATATTTTTGTAAAATACCTTATTTAATCATAATAAATTAAACAAACAGTATTACAAGATTGTACATTAAAAAAACGTACCTTAACAGATCAATAATTGTTTCTTAAGGAGGAACAAAGAGCAAACTTTCGACTGAACTTGTTTAACTGTTGACGATTAAAAATTATCAGCAATCTTTTTTAGGCTGTTATAATAATTATAATTTAAAATGTATGTTTATCGTACTCATCCACTTAATAATAAGCCGATAGCTAATAAACACGCAATACTTACTTTAGTACGAATATTGAATGCGCTTTACGATCAGGACCGCATTCAGGAGGAAAGGAAACGAGTTAAGGAATAAATGAAATTAACCAGTTAAATTAAACTCTCGAAAAAATATATTTAACCAACAGAATTTGCACAAAAAATACCTTTTGTACGTTAAACGCCTTCCTTTTAAAGATTACTTTGATTGTTACCGTAACTCAATACAGCGCGAATGCTAAAAAAAATTAATCAACACGAATCGCCCTTAATTAGAACCTATCAACTTACCTGATGCCTTTGTGCATGAGATGGAAAGCTTCGTTGATGTCTTCGAACTTCAACGAATGCGAAATAAACTCGTCGAGTTTCAGTTTCTTGTTCAAGTACTCTTCGACCAATTTCGGAACGCTCTCGCGACTCTTCCAACCTATATAATAATTATAATTACTATGTTATTAATATACTCGTCGAATTAAAATACCTCCAAAAGCGGTGCCTTTCCAGACCCGCCCAGTGACCAGCTGGAACGGCCTAGTACTGATTTCTTTTCCTGCTCCCGCTACACCAACAATAGTGGATACACCCCAGCCTTTATGGCAGGATTCGAGCGCAGCTCTCATAGTTTCAACGTTTCCAACACACTCGAAGGTGTAATCCAAACCACCATCGGTCAATTCCACCAATACTTCAGTAATAGGTTTCTCGTAGTCCTTGGGGTTAACGAATTCAGTAAAACCGAATTTCTTAGCTAAAACAGCGCGGTTTAACCCCTCAGAGTGGATGTAGGAAGTTAGTTTTACCGATTTCGAATTTAGCCGGGTTCAAATCGACTCCGATGATTCTAGTAGCTCCGGCAGCTTGACAGCCCAATCCTACAGCTAAACCTACAGCGCCCAAGCCCCAAACGGCGCAAGTACTGCCTTTCTCCACTCGAGCAGTGTTCAAAGCGGCTCCGTAACCGGTGGGCACCCCGCAACCCAACAAACACACCTTATCCAACGGTGCCTGCGGGTTTACCTACAACATTATCGTGTGAATTAACGAATTAATGTAGAGGTTATTAAGGTACTTTAGTGACGGAGATATCGGCTACTACTGTGTATTCGCTGAAGGTCGAGCAGCCCATGAAGTGGTACAATTCTTTCCCGTTGCATCGGAAACGAGAAGTACCGTCGGGCATCTTCCCTTGGCCTTGGCTCACGCGGATTTTTTGGCACAGGTTGGTCTTGGGGCTTTTGCAGAACTTGCAGTCGCCGCATTGCGGGACGTACAGCGGAATAACGTGATCGCCTGTAATCGAAAACTTTGTTATACGAGTAAAACGTAGTGTGATTTGTGTTAACCTGGTTGGACGTTGGTGACTCCTTGGCCTACACTTTCTACTATACCGGCGCCTTCGTGGCCTAAGACGACGGGGAATAGTCCTTCGGGGTCTTGACCGCTGAGAGTGTAGGCGTCCGTGTGGCAGACGGCTGTGTATAAGATTTTTACTCTAACTTCGTGTGCCTTGGGTGGATCGACTTCGATCGTTTCCAGTTTCAGATCTTCCTTGGGGCCCCAAGCGACTGCCGCTTTGCATTTAATAACCTTGAATTCGTAATAAATGTATAGAAATATACTGTATTGTCACAGTTTTTCAGTTTTAAATTACTTACTTTTCCTGCGGTGGACATTTTTCAGGTGCTTAATCGGTATATCCTTGAACAAGTTCAGTTCAACCAATCGAAGTGATATCAGCACAAAATTTTAATTGGTTTTGCTAGAGATTATCAAATATCCTTGATTCGTGACCTATGATCGAAAAAATTGCAATTATTACAATTATTTTATACCGTACGGAACAAAATATATTTGTGGTTATCTTCTTTTCCCTAAAAAAACTGAATACTTATATAAGTAAAGACCAGATTTGACCTGTCAAAAGTGTCATATTTTATTTCAAATTTGACACCAAATTCCTGACATAACCTCACAAACGATACTTGAATTTAACAGTTATGAAAAATAAAATGTATATTTGGAATTTGCATAGGTCTTGTTATAAATAAACTGTGGTGAGTTTTAAATCTTACAAATCACGCTTATCTTTCAACTTAACTTCTCAACAAGATAGATCTATGACAGTATTTGGAGGCATAAATGGTAGTTTAGTTAACCGATCTAAATCGTTAGCATTTAAAGTTGAAATATATTATAAAAAATGGATTTAGAAAGTGCAGGAACAAGTAATGGTATACCATCTAACAAAAAGCTCAAGTACACCCTGGAAAAGGACATATCAAAAAGAGACTGGACAATTCTACCTGTAAGTAAACACCACTTCATTTTAAAATTTTTAAAACCGTTAACTTTCAGGAAACTGTTTTAAAAAGGATATTTTCATATTTGGATGTTCAATCAATAAATAACTGCGCTCAATTATGCTCAACTTTTTTCCGGTTATCTAAAGATAGTAGCTTATACAAAACACTACATGTAAACGTAAGTATTAAATTTTTCGATTATCTTTGGAATTATTTCGAAATATTTTTAGTACGGAATGTCTGCTAACGCTCTAGAATATCACATTTCTAAAGTCACACGCCCAAGTAATGTTATAATTCACTACGCATCAGATCAAAGTAACAGCGATGACTACACAACTTACAATCAATACGTTTTAAGGTATGTGAAAAAAGGAAATTAAACTAAAATAATTACTTGATGTTTTAGAATATTGGAGAATTACGGGGAGTATATTTTATCGTTGGAATTAAATAACTGTAGAGAAGAAGACGTAATAACGGAATTAAAGCATTGCGTAAATCTCAAAAGTGAGTTAGTTATTCAATAATACTTCTGATGTTGATATTTTAAAAATTTACAGGCTTGATTTTGTTTAATTGTAAAGGAACATTCAACGCGCTGGTATCTTTTTCGAAATTAACTGCCATAGACTTTTCTTACTGCCATTTTTCTCAAAAGGTTGTGAGCACAACCGTTAAAAATAACCCTTCTTTATACAGTTTATATTTACGTGAGTAACCTTCATTTTTGACCATAAAAAACGTGCCTAATTAGCTATTTGCAGGTAACAATGTAAACATTAACCTGAACGAACTGATTGAAATTATAACCGAGCAATTGTACAATATAAAAGAACTTCACATAAACGAGAACAAACAACTGAGAAGCAAAAGTCTGAAACTGCTATCGAGACTGAAAAATTTAAAGAAATTATCTCTTATATCGAACGAAGGATTCATATGCAATCCGGAGGATTCGCTAGAATTTCTGGCAGCTGGATGTCCACACCTCGAAAGGTACAAAAGACTCTTACTTAAGAGAATTCAGCTAAGTTGTTTGTATTACAGCTTGTGCATAGACAATTGGAGTGAAATCAACGACACGAATTTAATAAGCGCCTTACGGTTGTGCAGCCAATTAATGACGTTGGAATTGAGAAGGACCAACATTACGATCAAAAGTTGCAAGGAAGCAGCTCTATCTTTACCGTTGTTAAAGAGTTTGATTGTTGATAAATGCCAAAAAGTGAAAAAATCGCAGGTAATACAATCTTCGACAAATTCTCTAAAATAGCTGTCGATAGAACTTATTTTTCATTGTGATTTTTCTTTTATTTCATTTGTTTTTAGTTAATTTCACTTAGAGAAGACTTTGAAGATTTAGATATACCGATATTATAAGTTTTTTTGTACCTACTTTAAATATAAATATTTTTCTTACACCCATTTTTTTCATTTTAAGTTGTTTCATTTTTTATAGCATAGTGTTTCTATTTATGAACCATTTGGGTGGGGCGAAGCAGCCCCGGAAAGGAAGAAAAAGGAAGAGGGGAAATGAGGAAGGATAGATTGTCGAAAGGATTTTACAAAAATTTTGCAGACTTAAAAAATAACAAACATAGCAGAGAAAGAAACCATCAATAGAAAATTTTAAAATAGTTCGTTATTTTTCTTTGTAACAAATTACTTTCAAAGCGATACAAGGAATGTTATTTAGCACAGAAGAAAGGGTAAGAAGAAGAGTTAAAACGGTTAAGGTATCACAGATTTTTAGGTGAAGATGAATAGATGTCTTTTTGTTTTTCAAGGTATTACAATATTGCAAATTTGTGAAGATAAAGGTACTCAAAAATTTAGTGAACATTATATGAGATCCGAGATTCTACTAAACTAAAAGCCTAAAATTAGTAACTCACGAAATAACTAAAAAGCGATGAAATGTTGCTTGCATTGATAATAACCCAAAATTAAATCAAAATAAAAATTTAATAGCCACAATCGGCTTTAGTTAAATTTTTAAAATTCACCAATTTAATAGACTAAAATCGATATATTAAAATATCCACGAAAATTTTACTTTTAACATAAGCATTATTCCAATTTGTTTTAGTTACCTCGTACAATTAGAGATCCTATATATCCGATTAGTGAAGATATTTGAAAACTGTTACCCGATAATTTCTAATATAAAATGCAAACAAAAATAAAATAGAATCTCTAATAAAATTTTTAACTATAATTAAATCACCAATAACTGATTATTGCACATCTGTTCAATTTGTGCATGTAGAAATCGTAAAATTTGATCATCATTCGAAACTGTAGTTACAATTATTTTTTTTATTTTTTATTTTTCCATTTTTATAACAAATTTAATAACCTTAAATGCTTTAAAAAAAACGTAATACTGAAAGAAAGTAAGCACCTGAGAGAAACTTTGTACATTTTTCAGAGTAAAATATTCGCCAATGAGCACGTATGATTCTTTTGAAAATTAAAGAGAAAAAAAAACCATGATCAAATCAAACGATTCCAAATAAAAAAAAAGATCGAATTCGTATTGAACGATGAGTGTTTCGTTACAGAATTTAAAATACCCACGTCGTTTTCCAACTCTCGTTAAATATAAAAAGCGCGGAAAACCGTAATAAACGCGGCATTTTACACTCTGGACTTAAAGCTTCGATTCACTTAACACTAAGGCTTACTGTCTATACATGATTATACATTTGTACTGCCTTAACAAAAATATCCGCCCTAGATCGGACGGTACATCTGGATAAACGATTTTTTATACTTTTCTGCCTCAATTAACTGAAGTCAGTGGCACTTTCCACCGCAGAAAACTAAACAAAATAAATCGATATTCTATACAATTTATAACTAAAAAAAAAAAAAACATACATCAATGAATCGCCGCGACGCGCGATCATAAAAAAATCAGTACTGTAATGATCGAGAATCATCAGTTTCGAGCGTCGCCGCGAGCATTGCATTGACTCGATGAATATGCCACTGGTTTTCGGTTACTCAACGCCAAAATCGAATGTGGAACGCCAGCGACCTAACTGCACGGCATTTCCGTTGGAAAAGGGGCGAGTCGTCGACGTTCCAATTCACCCATTTGGATGTCTTTACCAAATTATCACACACTCTCATTTACGAGCTAATTCGCAAACGTTTTAAAATACAAACTCAAATCTTATACTCTTACAATTTTTAACAGTTTTACAAAATCACATTTAAGAAAAGACTAAGTCGTATAGGTTAAAAACTAACTAGGAGCTAAAAGGACGGGCCGAAATGGCCTTCGACCCGCCCCACATTTATATCACAGCGCGGCTGAACAGGACAATAACTCGATTTGATTCAATATAGCCTATTTGAACGAATGTCAATTTTAATTAAATTCCCTTTTTGAAGCTAAAAAAACTAGTTGGCAAGCGTGCCTCGAATTCTCGTTTAAACCAACACCAATGGCAGCAATTATGCGTGTAAATAAAATTAAAAGTACATTTTTTTTAATAAAATAAAATACGAATTTTGCATCAATAAATCGGTAACGTAAATGTAAAAAATCTGTTTGACAACAAATTGAATAAGTCGACATCAAACAATTCAATTTCGCCATTATTTAGCAACTATGGGTTTGCAAAACAATTTATTGCTTTATCACAATTTGCTAATTAAACAGAACAATGTAAAAATGCACAATTTCGATTTTACAGACATAATTCATTTCGATATGTTTGCGAATAAATAATCTTAATGAGATACTTTTTATCAGCGTATTTTTTTTGTTATTTTTTTTTTGAAGTTTTAATGAAATTTAAAGCTGATAAAACGTTTCTAAAATAAGATTATCTAAAAATTATATTTAGAGAGCATTTTATTCAAATTTTTGCATCTCGTGTAAAACATTTAAAAATAAGGATCCTTGACTAGAAACTGGGGGAGAAACGAAAAATATTTACTTTGATACACTTTTAAACTTCTTAAATCTACCAATAGAACAAAACTCTATTCTATACGAGTACGGTTGAAATAAAATTTATAAAAGTAAATATCTTTAGTTAGCAGATGAAAAACAGCATTGGCATCGGCTCGATTACAAACGAGATACTACAATTTCCTTTTTATTAACAAGCTACACAATCCACCGGAACCATGGCACAACCTACCCATTCACGCAAACAAAACAACGAACTTCATAGAAGCAAAAACTATCAAGTTCCTCGATATTTATGTACGTATTGTCGTGTTCACTCGCTACCCAAAATTCGTTCTTAAAATTAATCACAATTATAATTTCTCGATATCGTGTTCACAATCAATTTACCGCAACAAAATATATAAATATCTTCTGTTGTTACAATTAACCGCCCTCTGTTGATTGACCGTCGGTCAAGCTTGGACCTTGAGCAACAGCTTCAGTTGCTGCGTCACGTCCTTGTGTTCGGATGCCAAAGCCGACGTCGAATTGTGGAAGGCCAAATTCGACGGTCTGCCCGTTTGCGTCCAATGCTTCGGGGGCAACGGCAGCGCTGACGGCAGCGGGGGCTCGGAGAATTTACAGCCGGCGTAGAAACCGCCTGTCAAACCCGGCGATGTACGAATTCCAGGACCTAAACACGACATTTATCACACAATTTTCATTATAATACAAAATTTTATAAAGTCCGGTTTAGATGATACAATAAAACGTAACGATTTGTCTGCATGCAAAATGGAACATGTAAACCAGAGATCGTTACGTTTTGTCGGAATTTGAGCCAGGTTGGTGCGAATTTCAATCAATTTTTCTAGATCGCAACAAGTCTGAGCATCTAAACGATGACTCCATCTGATCGTTGCAATCCCACTTTTATTGTAGAGGTAGTACAGTCCTTAGATAGGTTATTTAGTCCAATAGGCAAAACTGTTGGCTTAATTGAGCCAAAATAAAGCGAAAATAAATAAATGTTTTTGATATCTTGCTTCGTTTTCTAGATATCGATACTTGTGTACTATTGTAAAAAGGACAAAAAGCATAAAAGACCATAAAAGCATCTCATCCATTGTATGATATAACACACGTAAAACACAAAGCTAAACTACTGATTTTGGAAAAGCCTGGTTGAAGTAAAAAGACGGAAGGTGTAAACAGTATTCCCGATTTTCAACAAAACGGTGCAATTTGTTGCAGACAAATTGTTACATTTTATCGTATCATCTAAACCGGACTTAAGGGTCGTCGTGTTGCTGATTATACAGTGCTCTTCATGGTAACTGTATATTAGAACTTCTAGGGAGTTTCAACCCATTTTCAACCATGACTTCTGGGGCCCTTTATTAGACCTTGATAATAACACCATATGTTGAAAATAAACCAGTGATATATCATTTTTTTCGATATGTCTGAGTGCAGGTTTGCATAATCAATATGATCAATTATATGAGTTGAACAAAGAAAGATTATCGATATCATTGGTTAGACTGAGAAAATTGCAATCTCATAATATCAAAATTCTTCTAACGGACAGTTACCGTGAAAAGCACTGTAGTAATACTTACTCGCAGGTAAATAAATAGGCATTTTATATAGTTGTAAATAAGGTGTATTTTAAGGTAATATAATAAGAGAAATTGTTACTTACCCTGAGGTGAAAGCCCCTTGTTTGTTGCGTTTAATTTATCCCCTCGAAGGGGGGAGCTCTTCTGCGTCGTGCTTTGGTAGAAATTAGACCTGTAGGAACATCTAATAACACGAGAATTGACGAGTTTTCCGCCCTCCGAGTGTTTAGTACCCATTGCCATATTGAGCAAATTGTGAACCTAACGTCACTGCAGTCTTTTCGAGTCTATATATATTTATATTTTTTTTCTATTCAATAAAATTGACGAATACGCGCTGTATTCACACTCCGCTTCTATCACAGACCGAAATGATAAAGAATTTTGCGTTTAAAAACAATAATTATCATTACGACGCAAATCGGTCGCTTTCACAAAATGGACGACAAACACGCAGGCTGGTAACAACAAAGAACAATTCGCTCAGAGGCTTACGAACCTGCGAGAACTATTACTTTGCTTCGATTTTGTCCACAATGTTTCTCCTGAGTTCGCACAAAATCACTGATAAACGTTCAACCATTAGAAACACTGCTTTTGAGCGCAAAATTCCCGAATAAAGCCAACTTTAAACACTCCTCTCTCCTATTTTCTTATAGAATAATCACGAAAGTCAGGTGCGAGGTGGGGTCAAAATTGGGTCGGAGTTGCGCATGACGTAAATGTCGCAAAACAACGCTGACGTCAAAGGAAGTGAAAGTCCCAAGTACCAAATTTTTATTCAACATAATGACTAATGTTTTATAACCAGTTACTAAAAAAATAAATATTGACAGAATAAATTCGCCATAAGCTATAAAAAATAAAATTACCTCTAAATTTCGAATTTTAATCTTCTTACTAATAAACAACATAGTACAAGACCACACAATTTTAGCCTACTAACCTGTAACTGTCAAAAGAGTCAACAAAATAAATGTAAACATAAACACAAACATAAATATTTACTATTTTACAATGGATTTAAGACTAGAAACTACATCAGAGGAAAATAAAAAACTATTCAAATTAAAACCGCAACGAAAAGACGGGTATGCCATTTAAATAACCACTCATACCTCGTAATTTTTATTCATAATTTTCAGATTATTACTCAGTGTACACCATACCATAGGTAACACAAAAACTCGATTCGTGTACGGATGTTTCCATCATTTTAATAACATAGTAGCCGTAGCAAATAATCAAGGAAATGTATTTATTATCGACTATTCGGTGTGTCGATTTTGGGGTTTACGAAAATTCGATTCTTGTACCTTCATCAGTTTCTCCCCGCAGAACAGTAAGCATTTACTCGTCGGCGTTGAAACAGGAGTAATTAACTTATGCGACATGATTACTGGAAGTGTTGAACAAACTTTGAAAGGTCACAAATTTGGTGTAGTAGGAGTATCGTTCGATAAATCGAGGTACTGCTTGTCTTACTCAAAATACGAGGCCATCATATGGGACATGGAGTCAGCTACGAAAGTTCAAGTGCTGAGATTAGAACCGAATTGCTCTTTGAAGTATGTACGTATACACATTTAATTCTCGAAATCAAATAAACACGATATATTCCATGTTTTAGGTATCGTTCGTGCCTTTCTCAGAACATATCGTGACTTGCTTCCAGGACGATCTGATACAAATTTGGTCGCATCACAAATTCAAAATCATCAAGCAATTATCGCCGGCTAATTGGAAGAATTACTTTGTTAAATCGATAACATTCACGAGGTATTAACGTGCGTTATTATTCACTAATTAATAGATAATCAATTGAATCACCCGTTTCCAGAAACGGTGAATACATGGTTGTCTCCGGGCACGTTTCAACTATAGGAATATTCCATTTAGATACCTACAAAGTATTGAAGATAATAAATCTCTCCGATTATTTAAAATCGATAAAACAGGTGGAATTCGTACCGCAACCGTTCGATGGCGGTTGCAATAAAATCTTAGCGATATTATCCGGTATTAAAATATGTTATGATAGAATAATATCGAGTTTAATCGTATTTTACAGGCCAAGGGATTGTTTTCTTCTTCGATGTCGAACGAAACGAAATCATCAGCGAATTGCGTTGCCAAGTGGAAATTAATAAAATCTCATGCTCGACAGATAGCGCTCATATTATTTGCCTGCTGTGTTCGGGTACAGTCGATATTTACAATAGCAGACAGTACACGAGCCCCCCTCGAGAAATCCACGTGCACAAAATCAGGAAGAAATTAACGACAAACAGGAAATCCTGCGCTATTGAAGCAATGCATGTTAAGAAAGAGGTATACGAGTTAATCGGTTAAGAGATGTTAATTAATTATTCGTTTTGTTTCGATAGATTAGCGAGTTGTTAGATATGAAAAAACTGAGGTATATACTCAAAGAGCATCTGGAATATCCTAGCGAATTCAGGATGAAAATCTGGGAACATCTACTACAATTACCCAACAACGTTGAACAATACAACAGCATTATAAACAAAACTACTTTAGTAGCTTTCGATGATTTACACGAACGGTACCCGTTAGAAGACAGAACGTTCATAAACGCTTTGAAAATGTTGCTGAATAACCTCGTAACGTGGTCTCCTTTCTTCTCCCACGTGGAATACTTGCCCGTTTTCACGTTCCCTTTCGTTAGAGTTTTCCACAACAAACCTGTAGCTTGCTTCGAAGCCGCGTGCACTGTGATAAGTAAGACGCCCAATTTACCCTAAAATGTCCTATTACATCGCATTTTTTTCAAGTGAATTGGTGTCAACATTGGTTCGAATACTTCCCGCTCGCCCCTGTCAACATACTGGCTATCGCCGAGAACATGCTGATGGAACACGAGCCCGAATTGCTCGATCATTTCACCAGTCATAAAATTACTGCGAACGTGTTCGTTTGGTGTTTGCTCGAGACGGCTTTCTCCGAAGTACTCACTTCGTCCGATTGGCTGACGCTTTGGGATCACGTCCTAACCAACGAAATATCCTTCCTGATATCCACCGTAGTGGCGTATAATTCTCTGCAAAAGCATTCGGTAATGGCTCTGGCGAGTTTGGAGGACGTGCAGGTGTTCTACAAGAACCAAAATCCGATAGATGTCAGGAAATTGATCAGAATGAGTTATAGTGTGTTGAAGAGTACCAGCGCAAGGTTCCATCCTAGGCAATATTTGAGCAAATTCCAGCCGTTAGATAGGCATAATTACCCTCTGTTTTTCGAGTATCCTAAGAAAATATTCGATATAAAAGAGGAGCGCGCTAGCAAGCTGGATATGGAGATGATAAAATTGTTAATTCGCGAGCACGATTTGAGGAAAACCCGACAGAGATCTCGGAAAGCTTCGTTAGAAGTCGACGAGGAGAAACGTCGATTGAGAGGTATTTATTTCTAACGCTTTTTCTTCTATAACAATGTTTTTTTTGGGAACAGAAGTGGAAAAACTTTGTTCGAATCAAATAAAAACTCGCGTAGATTTGATAGCTGACAAGCAAAAACGTTTGAGAGAACTTGAAGATGACGCAAACAAGCAGATTGTGGAAGATGACGAGTTTATTTCGCACGTTTTAAAGGCTACAAATGGGAATGTAATTATCAAATTCTCGATAAAATGGTGCATTAAAAAATTAATAAATTGCAGGAAACTCGGAGAGAACAAATGGCAGTGAATGCCGATCTTGTAGACAAATTCATCAGAACGCTTTCCGCGGAATTGGGACAATCTAGCGAGATTAATCGATTTCCTCGAACAGATACGGTAATTAAAATGGTTTTTAACCAGATATATGAATAGAAAGTAATCATTAGAACTCAAAGTAGTTTTCCGTTGCTGAAAATATTCAATATTTTTGGAAATATAGCCCTTTTAAATTTAAAATTTCGACTCGTGATGTTTGACCAATTCTTAATGATTGTTAATGTGATTTTATAAAATAAATAAAAAAAGTCGTACTCCTCTCCATTATCTCATTTTTTCAGAAGAGTTTGTTGAACCGATTCATAGAGAATCTAAACGAAGACTTGAAGAGCACCCATAATCGAGTAAGATAATGAATATAAATTTGTTGCAAAATGGTCTTTTACTTGGCTGTTTTAGGTGTCAAAAAGCACCCGAAGTTCGTGCAAATCGCACTCATCAGACCAATGCTCCTGCGATACTTTATGCACCAAAACGGTGAGGTTCACATCGAGCACCACCGGAGGCAGCACCGATTGGTGATGCACTAACAACAACCGCTTTATTGTTAAAAACGAAGTTTAATAAAAATTTATTTACAATTGAATCAGAGAGATGCACTTACTATCGGAGATGAGCTGCCGCCCTTTGAGCTGCTCCAACTCCATTACAGCTAAATAAACTATATCTTCTGCGCCGCATTGTCTGAGTAGTTGGCTGGCGCACGCCAGGGTACCGCCCGTGGCTATCAAATCGTCCACTACCAGCACCTTTTGGCCCTTTTTGATCGATCCCACTTGGATTTCTAGCGTGTCCTGCGTTAGAAACGTTCGTAATAAAGCGTATTAAACACCTACAAGCGGTATTACTTCTCCGTATTCTTTGGTGTAAGAGGCCATGAAGGTGCACCCGGGCAATTTCCCTTTCTTCCTGATGGGCACGAAGGGCACGTGCAGCTCGAGGGCCAGAAACGAGCCGAATATGAACCCCCTCGCGTCCATTCCTACTACACAATCGACACCCGGCTGGATTTCTTTAACCGTATCTATGAGTACTTCCTTTAATAGCTGAAACGCCTTCGGGTCCTTCAGGACCGAGAAAATATCCCTGGAAATATCTATTAAGTAGTACTAACATCACCAGTACAGTAAAGCGATGAATTATGTGTTAAATACAACAAACTCACCTACCAAAACATGATGCCTTCTTTCGGGAAATCGTTGTAATTCCTGATGGACTTTTTGATGATTTCTAGTTTTTCCTCTCTCGAAGCCATGTTGTTGAAAAGCAACTAACTTCACAACTCCGCTGCCTGATTGATATTCAGCTGATATTGTTTTGACGGTTTTGAGTGAATTTCGATAATTACTCGACTACAATGTTTACTATCGCTTAAAGAGCGTATTAAACAATTACACACGTTGTAATTTGCCGTAAATTGTAGTACCACTTCGATTAACGCTCGGTTAATCTGTGCCGAGAGAGAGTCGATGTCACGATATACCGGCAAGGTCAGATAAATTATGGTATAGTGTTTGTATAGGAAAAATTAAATGATAAAAATTCAGTGTGTTCGAGAAACATTGCGTATCTACAGGCGATAAGTTTTTAAAAGATTTGATATACAGGGTGGTTCAAATATATCCAATAAATACTTAAATTACATTGTGCCTAATATGTTTGCTAATAATCACCTATTTTAATTACTTATTCAATTATAAACAAAACCAATGATCTAGGATGATTTAGAACTGTCTTGAATTAGTTAGAACTGTCTAAAACAATATTAAACTGTACAGAATCATTTAAATTGCATCAGGATGAATCAGAATTGTCTAGAAAAATTTAGAACTGTCTAGAATGATTTAGAAATGTCCAGAATAATTTAGATTGCTTCAAAACAAATCGGAAATGTTGAGAACCATTTGGAACTGTCCTGTATTATTTCGAACTGTCCTGAATGATATATAACTGTCTAGAATGATGTAGAACTGTCCAAAATCATTTAAATTCCTTCAGGAAGAATTACTACCTTTTTTTAAATAAAATATAATTTGTCACTTTGTGTTTAATTTTTCCCATTGATAATTTAAGGAGAATCGTCGCTTTGTGTTGATAGTTGATAGCGATAAAATTTCCATCGACTGAGCGCCGAGTCAAAACACAATTAATGCAAATCTGGCCCTCGACCCTCGACTGGTCTTTGGAAAATCATAAAAAAAAGGTCCACCCTTCGCTCACCCTTATCTCTAATCCCCCATCTTTCGTCGCTTCTAAACCGTAATTAATTTCGATGGGAGAGGATTAAAGACCGCGTGTCCGACAAATTATGCCGCTTAAAAGGAGCTTATTTCCGTATAAATCCCACCGGTTTCTTATTTATTATATCTATCTACTCGTTTATCGGTTTGTTTCGCGTTAATTTTAAACTCATTTAAACTCTCAAAAGTACCTACACTCAGATAAATCTACTCTTCGTTACTACACTAATAAAATTATGTTTTTCCACAATTAATTTCTACACTAAGAAACTACTTTTATTCCCTTATCAATTGCTGATGAATTGGTGTTTTTCCCACAAAATTCAAGTGTTTATACACATGCTTGAAATACCGATCGATGTGATAAAAATATGGTATCATCTAGTGGGCGGACGTACGTCATTCGGGTGACAGGGATGCACAGCAAGAGTCGATGCGTGAGCTAATCTTGGGACTTGTTTCCTGATAAACACAACACGACCCTTAAATGGCAATCGATAAGAGTCGGTTCTCATGCGTTTGTTCGAGCGCGTAATGAATAATAAATTGAATTATTCACCAGCGAGAAGCCGGTTGAAATTACAAGCTGGCAATGGGTTCGAAGAGTTTATTTATATTGCTTCTACAATTCTATGTAAATTCATATATCTTTACCTTTTTTGCAGCAGTCGTGTTTCTGGTAAATTCTGTGGTGGTCGAGGCGAATGCACTTCGACAAATTCCGCTGACAGAATTTTATTATCCAATAAGTTTTGCAACAATTAAGGAGAAATACGGAAAGTAATAAACCGTTGAGGGAGCAATAAAGCCAGCCTTGCACGCTAGAAACGCTTTGAAACGAAGTGCTCTTGACGACGACCAATAGAAAATAATATTTAAAGCAAATCCGCAGGGTGGAAAACACCCCGAACAAACTCACCGACAGAAAATCCAGGTTAACGTAGTAGGCGACTTTCACAGAGTACCACAAGAACTCCATCGAATCGTTCAGGAACATCACCAAACCGGCGAGTTTCCAGAATCTGTAGTACCAACAAAACCCCACAAACGAAACGTTCACCATAATATTTAGGTACTTCCAAGCGGTTGCATCCTCTTTGCACCGAATGATATCGATAACATCGCGTACTTGCAATGAAACATTCAACACCAAGTAGTACCAAACGTCTATTACCATCTCCTGGTCCCACCAAGACTCCTCGATGCTCCAGAACCACGGTTTATCCAGCAGTATGCGCCCCATACCCAACAGAAGAGCCCCGTAGTACCCCAACTGCCAGAAGCAGTCGTAGCAAAACGGTACCAGGTGCTTATTCGACGCTTCTTTGGTACCCTGAAAATTCACCAGATTCGTTACCGGTTGATTTTTTGCTCATTATCTCACCTTCAAGTCGATTTCCAACGTGTTGATGAGGCCGATGTCGAAGAGGTTTTTCGTTATAACGTAGAATCCCGTCATGATCATGATGGCGGCGACGGTGTCGTGGAGAAAGTGTTTCCATAGGGTGAAGATTACGGGAAAATACAAATATTCGATGAAATCTCGGTCGGCGTACAAGGAAATCGCGTCTTTGTCGAAGAATTTCGTCGAGAACATTTTCTTTGTTCGGTGGAAATGTTTCGAATCGTGCCGGGTTTTTAATTAAATCGGTGCTCGTTAAATTGTTTTATTGGATAATTATATTGTTTTTTTTCGAATTTTATGGTTATTAAATTACACAATTCTTGTAGGTTTCTTCTTTATTACCATCCCTTATCAGCACAAAATTTTAAAACTTCAATATGATTGTTTTGCGTAGAAGAGCTTTGTTACAGTAACTTAATTATTGATTAGATATTTTGGTAATTACAATGAATATACACTGTGCTTCATTCGCGATTGCAACATGTGAATTTCTATGAGTTGAACAAAGAAAGATTATTAAAATGACAGTTGTCGGAGTGAAAAGTTGAAATGACAGTAATGACGCAAATGTCACTCTTTCTTTTTCCTTTATAAGTGTCTAATCGAAGTTGTCTTTGTTGCACCCATAGCCTATGTTACAATGAAAAATGGAGCAATCTGTGTCTAATCTGAGTTGCATATAAAATTTATACGATCCTTATAAATATATTTTAAGTACCAATAATTGATTGAAATCAATCGATTGTAAGTACCACCGTTAAAAATCAAACTCGTGTAAAGGAGGATTATAAATTTTAAGCACTTAAATTTCCATATGATCTATGGGAAAGTGTAAAAAAGCCAATATTCCAACCCCTAATTTCGGAGGGTAGAGGGTGCTCGTACGGAAAAAGCTAATAAAGTTTCTATTACGAAATGGGGTGAAAGATTTGTATAGGCACGTGACCGGCCACGCTTCTTCGTGTCACCAGCCACCTGGAAGAGATTTTTATTCATTATACAATCGGATAGCAAAAAATAGATATTGAATACAAATTTCTAATATCGATAAATTATGAGAAACTACCCCTTATTTTATCTACACTAAGTTTATTTACATAATATGAAGCGTATTAAAAAGCGCTTATAATTTGAAGTTTCCATCATTCTCATCATTAATTGTATTTTTTCTCAATTAAACGAATTTATGACAATATTGGATAAGAAACCATTTAATACAATTTCATATTAATCTTCTATTGAAGGGTCAAGTTTACATTTACTCACTATAAACTGTACCTGCAAAAGCGAGATAAGCGCAAAGTCACGCCCTCAATTTTCACACCCCTGTGAGCAGGGTGAGAGCGCAAATCCTACACAATTCTTACACAGGGTGTTTTAAATTTCACAAATAAAAAATTCACCAAAAATCACCGGATTTCTCCTCGTCACAAGGAGAAACTTCCACCGCGAGTAGTATTAAGAAATAGTGAATCGAAACCTCACAGGAATAATATTTTTTAGGGGAAAAACGTGAAAATCCCGATACAGGGAGGAGTTAGATAAAAGCAGAACCCACCCTCCCGGAGTGGTCCGGGCCGTGATTGGGCGCGCTGGCGGAGCCTGGACGGCGGTGATAAGGACCAAAAGGGGACGGGATGTCGGGATTGATAACGTTTAGAAATTTGTTGTTCCGGTGCAGCGTCGAGTGTCGTGTAGGTGGTGTTGGAAAAAACGTCGCACTCGAAGCGAATTTAACATTATTGTTTTATCATCAGTTTATTGCATGCAATTAGAGTTATTTTGGTGTTGCTATTTACCGAAGAAACGATCGTATTCAGATGGTGAGTGAGTGTGGTTGTGGTGAAAAGTGTGGAATGTATGTGGAAGTTTTCATCGATGTTCACCTTATCGATCCATCCCTTTAAACCCGGATTTAGAACAGTCATGGACTCTACACAATATTTTCCTTAACATATAATTTATTAATGTTTATATCTAAACATAAAATAGTGAATTTAAAGGATTCTAAGTTGTCCTGGTCTGTTCAAGCTTATACTGACGAATTCTAGAGAGTTCTAATGCATCCCGAAGCACTCTAAATTGTTCTGGTCAATTCTAGTACATCCTGGTGCATTATATATTGTTCTGGACAGTTCTAAGCATCTTGCAGTAGTATAAGTTGCTCTGAACAGTTTTATTAGCTTATAATAAAGCGTTCTAAAATGTTCCGGATAGTTCTAGTGCATTCTGAAGCACTCTAAATTGCTCTTGGCAGTTCTAGCTTATCATGAAGAATTCTAAATTGTTCTGGATAGTTCTAGTACATCCTGGAGCACTCTGAATTGTTCTGGTCAGTTGTAGCTTATCCTGAAGAATTCTAAATTTTTCTGGACAGTTTTAGTGCACCTTCAACATTGTTCATACCCATTCTTTGAATAATAAAATTCACATTTCCGGAGATATTTAGCAATTTTCAAATGAATCTCAACAGCCGATGCTCACCCATCGATCCAGTCCCACCGACTTGGAGTGCTATCAAGACGGCGACAACACCGATTTAAGCGCATCGTCGTCGCCCACCATCCTGAAAATCTGCCCCAACCACGAGCCGGACTCGCTCTCCGACGATGACGACTTCTCCGACGAATTCTCCATCATCGACAGCGACGACGACAAGAAAACCGAAGGCAGACACCAACACTCCCAAATAATCCAGGTAACGTCTAAACAATCGTCCGATTCCTCGGCTCCGAGTAACCCGATTTCGCTCGCACCAGCTCTCTTTGGAGGTGCCCAACACCAAGGGCGTGGTCAAGAAGATGTTCACCAACAGCAGGGAACGGTGGCGCCAGCAGAACGTCAGCGGCGCCTTCGCCGAGCTCAGGAAACTCGTGCCCACCCATCCGCCCGACAAGAAACTCTCCAAGAACGAAATCCTCCGGATGGCCATCCGGTACGAATTTACCTCTGCAATTTACCCTTCGGTTACAACCACTTCCGCGTGTTTCGCAGGTACATCAGGCTGCTGACGAACGTGCTGGAGTGGCAGCGCAGCCACGCCGACGTCGTCCGCATCTGCGTGAAGCACGAGGACCTGCTGGCGCGCGCCGGGATCGTCCAGGGGGCGCAGGCGATGCGGACGCGCGCCCGGCTGCGCCGAGCCAACGCCGGCCACCGCCAGCTGGCCATCTGCGACCGGAACGGCAACAATCTGCTGATGATAGCGCCCAACAACCACCTGCCGCACCGGCGGTGCCTCGGCAGGGTGAAGATCGAATGCAGGGAGAGAGACGACGACGACGCCAAGGAGAATAAAATTAGAGAGGAGAACGTTTAGTTGTTTGGTTGACAAAGGATGATGTTTGATGATCGGGTTGAAATTGGTGCAATTTCGGTTGGGGATGAATTATTTCGTGTTTGCTTTAGTTTATGTATAATGGGAGTTAGTTTTTTTTAATTATACTTCATTATTTAAGTAAGGTGAATTTTATTATTAAATGTAGTTAATTAGGTCCTCAAAGGGGATAGAAAATGGATAAAATGTAGGGCGAATGATTGAAATTCTTGGAAGTAAAACTGATGGGTAAAATATGACTAAACTGAATGTTTAGTTATTGGTTAACAAAGGATGAAATTTGATGATTGGGTTGAAATTAGTGCAATTTCGGTTGGGGATGAATTATTTCGTGTTTGCTTTAGTTTATGTATAATGGGAGTTAGTTTTTTTTTTTAAATTATACTTCATTATTTAAGTAAAGTGAATTTTATTATTAAACGTAGTTAATTAGGTCCTCAAAGGGGATAGAAAATGGATAAAATGTAGGGTGAATGATTGAAATTCTTGGAAGTGAAACTAATGGGTAAAATATGACTAAACTTAACGTTAATTATTAGTTAACAAAGGATGAAATTTGATGATTGGGTTGAAATTAGTGCAATTTCATTTGGTGATGAGAATTATTTGGTGTTTGCTTTAGTTTATGCATAATAGGAATTAGTTTTTTTAATTATACTTCATTATTTAAGCAAGGTGAATTTTATTATTAAATGTAGTTAATTAAGCCCTCAAAGGGGATAGAAAATTGATATAATGTAGGGTGAATGATTGAAGTTTTGGGTAAAATATGCCTAGAACCATTCCATAATAATCTCCAAGAAGTACTACCACCTGATGCATAAAATCTATTACCCAGCTTAAGATCTAAGCAATACCTCAGTAATAAATAAATACAAAGAGCGTTAAATTAGGAAGATCATCATCATCATCATCACCCTATAAGGACGCACAGGAAGCAGTACCACATGATGCATAAAATCCATCGCCTTCGGCGAAGACCTAAGAGATGTCTCGCGGTGCCGATTACAAGGTGACTCAACTGTATAGGAAGAAGAGAGTCATTTGGAAACGCCGCGATCGATTTCTGGTACTCTGGTACTCGGGCGCTACTCGGAATCGACGCCCTCTTACCGCGAAGACGTCAGAGCAGTCGGCCTTGGCGACCAATGGGAGCGCTCGGAGAAATTGTGTGAGAAGAATGCGATAGTATAGAATGCGATGTAGAATACCTGGCGGAGTTGCGTTCGCCAGTGCCGCTCCGGTGTCGTGCTAGGTGATCCGGTGTTGTGTTTGTGTTTGTATGTGTGTTTGCGACAGGTGCGGCCGCGATTTTTCGAGTACTTTAGGTACTCGTTGGTAACTTTATTTTTAAGACGATCGCCTGGCGTTCCCGGGTTTTTGGATATTGTGCTGGGAGTTTGATTGTGAGAAACGTAAGTAGTACTTTCTTGGTACTTATGTTTTGCAAGGCGAAGGTCTCGACTTGTCGCTGTACTTTCTAAATTTCAAATGGGATTCGTTTTGACGACACGTTCTCGGCGGTGAAATTAAATTGTATTCGCCTTAAATTATAGGTAGTACTAGCCGAAATTACGGGTTTTTTTATTGAATTAACAATTTAAATTCGGCGCTGTTGGTTATAATTTTATAGCTTTAATACACTTGATTTTTAATTATTTATAAAAAAAATAATTCTCTTATAATTTCTCAATATTTTTGGAATTAACAATAATTGTTTTGGTCATTTTATCACCCTGTATAATTAATTGTAATGATGTTAGTGGAACGCTTAACCGTACCAAATTAATTTCGGATGAATAATTGATTTCCGTCGGAGAAAACCAAATTGATTCTGCGAAAATCGCCGGAAAAACCGGATCTGGACAATACTGTGGTTATTTATAAACAAAAGTCCGCTGTAAATCGAACGTAAAGTTGGTAGGTCAGTGAAAAAAAAATGCGTATAAATTAATTTGAATTACGTCATGATCGTTACTTATTTTCTGCGTCCTTCTAGCAGGCTCGTTTAGGTGTAATGAAAAAATCCCACAGAACTATAAGCGATAAGGTCAACAAAATTATAACTACATTTTAAACGTTGTGAAAATCCAAGAATTTTTTAACTAGCATTTTAACTACTACATAAATACTTTGTTATCGGATTTTCTCAAACATTTTTCCAAATAGACAACTTGTTAATAAGCTAAATTTATTCGGTTAATCTATTTATTTAAAATGTGGTTTATAACAGCTACTAAAATAATAAAATTTATCAAAAATGTAAGAAATAAAAATAAGTATTGGCGACTAATAAAAGTTTATTCCCATTTATAACCTTGCTTTATAAATGTATAAAAACGGATTATATTCACTAAATCCTGTCATGTGTAAAATATACTAATTTATTATTAACAATTTTTTTGGGTTTGTTCCATATAATATGATTCATATAAAAATTTTTAATTAGTCCACAAATTTAGTAAGAAAACATCCTTTATTCATAAACCACATCCTCGTATACATAGTAAACAATTTACCTCAATCTTCAAAATTTAAGAAATTCTTATCAACTTTGCTCTAATATCTAATTTTCGACCATTGGAATATTCCTAACAAAATCCATCTTCGAATCGAGAATAGAAAAATATCGACTCCTCTAATTGACCATTGTATAGCAAACAAGACTTTCACTTTTAACCCGGTAACATTTACCGATACACTTTGCAACAATTCCAATCATCTCGAGGTTTATCTACGCAATTCGAAACGTCCTTATGCGGGTTCTCCAACTGGAGTAACGCAAAACAATTCCAATAACTCAAAATTATTTATTATTTTACTAGAGTATTTAAAAAGTATTGTTATTCTGTTAAAGTTGGACTTTTAGGTGCAGGTGATCATATTTTTTCAAGGAATTGACAGTTAGCAGCTGTCATTCGAAATTCTAAACAATCCTAAGTGGAGATGTCAAATTAAGAAAAAAACGATGTTTTAATATTTTAATAAAAAATTTTTATACTAATATCAATTGATCATACTAAAATCAGTTAAATAGTATTAATATTCTGTTAAAATAGGACTTTTAGGTGCTTTTAGTGCTAAGATTTTTTTCAAAGATTTGCTGACAGTTGGCAGCTGTCATTCGGAGTTTTTAAACAATTCTAAGCCGAGCTATCAAATGAAAAAAAAACACGTTTTAATATTTTTTTTTGTATTAAAAATATAGGTAAGCTTTCTTTGCTTTCGGCGCTCCGTTAATTAGAAAGCAATTTAGCGCGACATGAATTGGATACGTCTAAAAATATAATAAATTGCTTTTATAAACCGCTTTTTATTCGTTAAAATATATTGCTAATTTACGATAATTATCGTGAAAATAATGCATGCATTTAAACTGAACCTCTAATTGTTTTTCTATTTTTTCATGCTAAAAGGTTAAATTATTATTTTATAGATATCGCCCTTTGCAAACGCTCTGCTAGCACACATTAATAATGCAATAGCACACAATTAGGCCATCGACTAATATGTTAACCAGCACAATTTTCCCTCTTAGCTATGAATAAAATGCCAAGTATTCGTTGAACATTCGTGCGAAAGTGTGTCAAAGGGCAATATTACAACCAACTTCCCTACTACAGAACCTCTGTAAAGTGTACTTAAGGGTTAAATTCACTCAAAACGTTTTAATTAATTATACACAGTAAGCTTATTGTACAAAGTAAGTTGACGTCACGTAGTACTTACAATAGACAATCTATAGTTGTTGTTATTGGAATATATTCTCCCTAGTTTTGTTGCGTTGAAAAGTGGGTTAAAAAGTTTCTGATACGAGCCTTTGAGATGGTCAGTGACTTTGGTCAATAAAGCGTTACGTGTGTTGCTTTGAATTGAATCAATTCGCTGTACCTCGTATAGCTGTAGCAAAGGAATAGAGGTGGAGGAATTGGAGGACGAAACAAAACGGTGAGTTTTAACGTTTCGCGTTAATTACACCGTAAATTTAACGTTCTTGACATATTTTATAAGTTGTAGCTACCAATTTGGATTTTTTTTCTAAATTTTTTTATTATATACTATAAATTGTAGTTTGCATGTTGCGAATGTTATTTTTATTTTACTAAAAAAACTAATTGAATATGCTATGAACCAAGAGTTGCGGTTTTACAAAGGGGGCTTAAATAATTGATAAAATTCATCTCATACGTGTGTGTTCATATGGAAAAATTTTATAATTTTTTGCATTATGCAAAACTCATTCTTTCCAGCGAATTCCAAGCTTGCAATGCAGATAGATTTCTTGAATTTGTAATATTCACGCGGAACTGAATCAATCCTGGATAGTTTTAAACCATTATTTAAGCATTCATCACTCATAATGGACCGTCTTATGCATTTATATTCTATGTAAAATCCACAATTTTAGTACAAAATATTTGTTGATATAGGTTTTTTTAATCACTATAAACACTATTTTCTTATCAGCTACTAATTCATGCTATTAGTATAATTTAGAGTTCATCGTCGATAAACTTTATTTACGAAATTTAACACACAACGCTGGTTCATTTTCGAGCAAATGATAAGAAAATGAAACAAACTACTAGATTTTTTTTGTAATTTCATTTCATTACCGCAGCGCTTTAATTTTATTCAAGTATTTATTGTACCTGGCAATCTCACGGTCGCAGCGAATTAGCAAAGTCACTCGCTGAAAACGGAATTCCCTGCTAACGCCCGCAGGTACATTTAAAAAAAAAACAATTCCGTTGTTCGCATACTTATATTAGTCATTCTTGAGTAGCGTTAAATCCAATCCCACCTTCGAGTATACCACGTTCAAGCTAACCCAGCGATGACATCACACCAACCTTACTTATACTAATACCTCCATAGGTGACCATGAGGCTGTACTTAGTAGCCTTGCTGATATCGACAGCGCATGCTCTTCCCGACGGCGCCCCGACGTCCGCCTGCAACACTCTAAAGCCCGTCCACGAAGGGGCCCTACCTCAAGCCAACCTGGCCCCTTACTCCGTCTTCGTGAAGCAACAGGGCGACGTCGTCCAGGTCACCATCGGCTCGAACCTCGGCGTGCCCTTCCAAGGCTTCATGGTGCAGGGGCGGACGCCCGAAGGGCGGGTAATCGGCTCGTTTCAACTGCCCGGCGGCTCCCAGGCTCACACGATCGACTGCAAGGGCGCCGGCGACACCGCCACCCACAACAGCCCCGAGAAGAAGGACCTGGTGAACCTGATCTGGGTGCCGCCCACGGGCTACCAAGGATCCGTCGTTTTCGCGTAACTACATCCTCGATCATACACCGATGTATTTCTATACTTGAAAAAATTGTAGGTCGACGATACTGCAGAGTTTCGAGACCTTCTGGGTGGGGCTGGAGTCCGATGTGGTCGAGGTGCGACGCAGGTCCGTCAGACAGGATTCCTTCTACAGTAACTGCGGTGTTACCAAGTACTGCTACGGGGCGCCCATCGATTGCGTCGACGCGCAGAACTGCAAAGTCGCGGTGGCGGTGACCTCGGTGGGGGAGGCCTTCGATTTCGAGCTGAGGGCCAACGGGAACCCGGCTTGGGTGGGCGTAGGTCTCTCCGATGACGCCAGAATGGGCGACGATTCCGTGGTGGAGTGCGTTAAAGACAAAACCACCGGAAAGGTGGAGGCTTTCTTGTCTTGGACTACGATCAATCCCTATGGAGCTCCACGATTGGAGAAGGTGAGTTTATATGGTGGTTGTGGATGTGTTTTTTTTTATTGGATTGTGGTTGTTTTGTAGCCTCAGGAGGGTATTAGATTGTTGAATGCCAGCGTAGATGAAGATGTGCTCTATTGCAAGGTCAGAAGGGATACTGTGACTAATATTAAGGGAACCGTTTTTGATTTGAGGGCGAATTCTTTCCATGTACTTGTTGCTGCTGGTGCTGAGCTTAAAGGTAAGGATACAATTATCCAAATATTTTGCACAATAACAAGTGGATAGTAGTGGATTAACTTTAATATTTGTTTTCAACTGAATGATCTACCTACAACGTCTACTTCTTTGTTGTTATTTATACTGTAATAAATTTTGAGTGGTGACCTTGTTATGGGATACTTAATTGTGAGAATTAAAAAAAAACGAACCCAACTATGAGTAAGATTCCAATAAAAAATACAGCAATGTTATTAACAATTTATAATAAATGCATTACGATTTGAATACGTACCTGTTTATAAAAAAAAACATTACAAGGTAGTCGGTTAATTGAAAAAATGGTTATGGTCATTTACCAGGAAGTTTACTGTTATTTTACTATTATTTTAATTAAAACCTAAATAGTTCATGATATTAATAAGAAGTGCTGATTAATTATTACAATTACATACATATTTATACATATTACATAGTTTTACTGTAATACACACACTCAAAAATCTTTTGCATATTATATACGACGTTGAAATGCCACTGGCCATTTATTATTTGAAATGTCTTTTGTAAAATTGTTTTTATCATATTATGATTTCTCATGCGTTGAATTTTCATTTCTGTACATCCAAAATCTTTCAAACTGCTGCGAAAAATCATTTTTTTGATTTCAACTTTGACACTGTAACTTTTTTATTTTCAATATTTTACTAAAGCAAATGGTTTAGACCGTAATATTTTGAAGCCCAGATTTTCCCCTTTACTTTTGGGTCATTACTTACGGACCACTCTGTATATACTGTTTTGCATAAAAGAATAAACATTTAGTACAACGAATTGTTTGTAAAATTACTCATCAAAATTAGTTTCCAAAAGGCATAAACATCATTTAAAATTAACAATAAAAACAATTTAACAAAAGACATTTTAAATAATAAATGGGCAGTGGCATTTCAACTGTATAATATGCAAAACATTTTTGAGTATGCGTAGTTCAATATGTTAATAGATCCTTTACAAAAGGATTTCGTCCTTACAACAACAAGTTGATCACGAAATTTTCGTCCACCTATAAAAACTTAAATTTCCAGACAATTCCGTGGGCTTCCACGACCTCTCCTACCTAGCCAGCCCGGACCCGCAAGTTCTATCGCCCAACTCCCAATCCCTGTTCGTCAACCGGCCGGACATCTCCACCACCACCACCCCGGCGTACTTCGAACCGCCGGCGGCCCGGCCGGCCGCCGCCGAATTCGACGCCTTCTACGAGGGCTGCGCCGTCACCAAGATGTGCTTCGGCGCGCCGGAGGACTGCGTGCGGACGCGCGCCTGCCGCGCCGCCGTCGCCGTCACCGTCGCCGGCGATCGCTACGATTTCGAGATGAAGGCGACCGCCAACGCCGCCTGGGTGGGCGTCGGTCTCTCCGACGACGCCAAAATGGGCGACGATTCCGTCATCGAGTGCGTCAAAACCGATCGAGGCGTCCGGAGCTACATGTCTTTGACCGGAATCAAACCCTACCGAGCTGTCCGATTGCAAAACGTAACTACTGGCGAGACATCTAACTTCTTACGCTACTACTGTCGTTGTTATTTCAGCCACAACTCGGCATAGAATTGCTAAATTCTAGCGTAATCGACGACACCATCTACTGCAAGGTGAGAAGAAGCCCCGTGACTCTAGTCGGCGGTACCACCTACGATTTGACCAACAACAAGTACCACGTCCTTGTAGCCGCCGGTGATTCGGCGACGCCTAATAGTGTGGGTTTCCACAACGTCCAGCTGCCCAGCAAAGAGAAACTCTTCCTGTCGGACACCGCCGAGGTGGCGGCGCCTTCGAAGCTGCTGGTCCACCTTCACGGCGCCTTCATGCTGGCCGCTTGGATCGGCACCGCCTCGGTGGGGATCCTCCTAGCGCGGTACTACCGGCAAACGTGGGTGGGCACCACCATGATGGGCAAGGACCTTTGGTTCGCTGTAAGTCATCTACTCGACTCGATTTCCCGTTGGTAAAATTCTCGTTCGTAGTGGCACAGGTTCTTCATGGTGCTGACTTGGCTGTTTACTATAGCAGCTTTCGTGATTATCTTCGTGGAGCTGCGCAAGTGGTCGGAGGAGAACAATCCGCACGCGATTTTGGGCACCGTTACGACGATTTTGTGTTTCTTCCAGCCCATCGGGGCTTACTTTAGGCCTCATCCGGGTACTTCGAAGAGATCCATATTCAATTGGGCGCATTGGTTGGCGGGAAACGCCGCTCATATCATCGCAAGTAATATAATTTATTTAATAAGATTGTTGATTGAGTGGTAAGGTTTTATTGGTTTCCAGTTGTTACGTTGTTTTTCGCTGTGAGATTGACCAAAGCGGAACTACCGGAGGAAGTTGATTATATTTTGGTTGCTTATGTGGTTGTTAGCGTCGTGGCCCATCTTCTACTATCGGTGAGTTTGGTAAAATAACATTAGGTGACTAATTTAATTGGTTTAATAATTATTTTAGATTTTGTACGGGATATCAGAGAAATCGGGAGATAGCAGAGTCTCGTCCTTCCCGATGAAGGATTTGGGAGGTTCAGGAAGGAATTCGGTGTACAACGACAGGAATATGGACGCTAGAGTAAGTTAAATACAGGGTGTGCTTGGTGTTGGATTTATATTTGTATTTTTGTTTTAGTTTTCCACTGCGAGGAAGTTCATTTTGGGCGTATACATTGTGATAATTCTCGTTTTGGTGATAGGACTCATTTTGATAACAGTATTTACACCGGCGAAGGATTTGTTCCGGTAAAAGGAAGGGTCCCCTACTGACTAAATGAGAGTATTTAAGCTTGAGAGACTAAGCGAGAGGTGCCAGTTTTATTAAGAAATATTTAACGATTTTTCAAAAAAATATCTATTAAACATTCCGTGTTCAGTTGTTAATACATAATTTATTTGTATTTATTAATTTTTATGTGCACCAAATTTTTTAAAAATGTTTTGCTATAAATTGTTGTTCCGTTTGTTAGTAGAATTTTGTTAAAAAAATAAGGCTGTAAAAATAATAATTGTTGCTACAAAAGTTAAAAATGAACGACCATAGGAATATTGGTAACCACAAATAAGCGTGGTTGTTAATTAGGCATTCTCTAATTTTTATGTAAATAAATATATTTTTAATTTCGATTGTAAGTTACACATTACATATTTTTTATTTAACAACGTCGATTTTATATTAATTATACTTGTTACTTGTTGACTGTGAATAAAGCTATTTCCATATTAAACAACATCGAATTTTCCCCATCACGAAACCTTCCCATCGACTTTCCCGATTCTCCCTCCGCTCCATCCAGATGTCGCCCCATTACCGCCACCCTCAATCGAACTTCGAGCCTCCGCCGCCGGCGCCACCGTCGTTCCTCCACAACTTATCGACCGCCCTCAGTCCCCCAACGAATGAACGCGAAGGGCATAGTATTTCCGCCTACGTACCTCGCAAAGGGCCAGTTTGAACCCCCCCATAGAGCGCACAGCGCGCTTACATATCCAGCTACGTGTGTGTGTGTGCATACGAGTGCGAGCAACGCTCCGGACCCCCTCTAAAATCCGCTCTGTATTATGAGCGAGGAGCTGTAGGACCCGCGGCATTCAACAGTTTGATGACTACATTAATAATTTCCGCTAATTCACAGTGACAGTGCGATGTGTGTTAGTAAAGCGGTTTAGCGGTCTCCGGGGGGACGAGCGGGTCGCCGTTTATCATGCAGGAGGCTCCTTGAAGCTCTAACGGGGGCGGACATGAGCGCGATTAGGGCCTGGGGGGCCCTCGTCGGGCTGTTGGCGGCGTGTTGTTTGGTCGAAGGCGGTGTGGCCGACAACGAGGTCGATAGGACGCAATTCGAAGCCGCCTTTCAAGGTAAATCAATCCACCGAGCGATGATGATGATAATGATGATGATGGTAGATTGTAGTGTAGATTGTAGAGTAAACAGAAGTTCCAGCGTTTCGTATCGATTCTTATTAAAACGAAGCGGAAAATTCGATGTATGCGTTGGGGGAAGCGTGGAGGGTTCGTGGAAATTCGATGGGTTTTTCCCAATGGATTCGTTGCTGTTATTTTATCCTTTACTTTGGTTTGGTTTTAGATTCCTTGTTCATTTGATTATTCATCAGTCCAAGTACAAAATTCGAATTGGTATCTTCATAGAAATCAATTATTGATAATAATCCTGAAGATAGAGAACATTTTTGACCTATGGAGCAACCTCGTTTTATCTAGAAAACATCCTGATTAGGTTACATTAAGATTAGAAATTGGTATCCAAATAAATAAATTTATTTCTTAATGATATCCTAAGAGGAAACTCTTTAAGAGAACACTTTTAACCCAAGGAGCAGCCTCGTTTTATCCTGAAAACATCCTGCATATAATATTTTTTCAAAAGCTTATCTTATAATTATTCTTTTCAAAAATTAAGCACAATTTAGCAGGAATATTACAGCATTTTTCAAAACAACGATTAAAATCGGTATTGGTATAGATATGTACATTTACTCCTTGATAATATCTTGAACATAGTTCTTTAAGAGATCATTTTTGACCCCCTTTTTATCCTAGAAACATCCTGCATGTTACATTTTCAATAACATCATTATAAAAAATCTTAGAAAATCAAATACAATTTAGCAGGTAATTTACATTTTCACAAACATTTACAAACCTCTCATAAAACACACGAAATAATATCACAGTTAAAGACAGCAGAAAACACAAACGCCGCAACCCCATTAATTAATGACACAATCTTGCGACAAAACCGAGCACAATATATCCGAGACAATCGGCCTAATTTTATTATTCTAACGACTTACAAACGTTCTACAGAAATCCGGATTCCCAAATGTACCATCGCCGCCACCTTAAAGTCCCTCGCTGAAATATGAGCCGCGAATATTGTTCGGTAACCGAATTATAAACTCCCCGATGGAATGATTTGTAGCGGGAATATTCGTGCGAATTTGTTTGTTGCGCTTTACTAATGGCTTTTGTTTTTGGTAATGAAATTAACCGATTTATATCGGCAAACAATAAATATTTGCGCTTGCATGGCAACGTGATAAATATTTGTGCTTCGATGGTGACCTATTTTTAGCGATAAATCCGAGAGGCTATTAAAATTAAAATGTATTTTCGCGTGTAGCGATTAGTCGGCGAACTTATTAAGGGTGAAAAATTGCCCTTTTTCTCTCCACCTTTATGCGGGGAAGCCGCTCGAAAACCCCTTATGCATTCGCCATTCAAGCCGGCGAGTTTTATTAAATGCGTGCGTAAACACTACATTCTTATTCGTCGAGCGCCGTTTCGCTGTCAGAAATGAGGGATATTTAATATAAAAAAGGCGCCCTTGGAAAATATCAGAAGCATTTCTGTAAAATATAAGAATGGAGTTTTTCCAGTTATGTGGTAATGTACGAGTATTTTATACGTAGGTGTAGAAACGCAGCTTGTTCAAAAGCTGCTAGATTAAAGCACCGCATTTTAATTTCCCGAGGCTTTCTGAATATTTTTCTATAACAAATATAGAAGTGGAAGAGACTAATATTTGTTCTCTTTTATACCTATTTCATACAAGTTTGCAAACCTACTATATTACTTCTTCTTTATCCTATAAATATTTGTTCAGGCAACAATGAATACACTATAGTATTTGCTATTTAAGGGGTGTTTAAGGGTTGCTTGGTTAATTTACACCTCCACATCGCAAAAGAACATATTTTTAATTGATAATATCATCCATAAATCTTCCTGTGACCTCTTCCTAGACGGATATCGAATCACAAATAAGAACTCTCATCAATCTCTTTTCAAAGAACCTGAAACTCTACATTTTAGTACTTTCACACAACCCGAGCGAATTAACAAATTAAATTAAGAACCCAATTAAAATCTTGTCAAAAAAAAACTGTGTATATAAAATCTCCATCTAAAAAACATACACCCTTCGAGCCCCATCATGCGCCATTGAATAGAGGGTTAAATCTGTCGCTAAACGTACGCTACATGCAAAACGCGAGTGAGTGCGATTTAGGTTTCGTTCGGACGTGATTCGAATTTTCCGACGATTTCCCGACCAACAACCAATTTCCACTGAACGTCCGCGCGCCCAAGAGCCCTCCAAATCCCCGTCACCAGGAGATAATTGCATCAATCCCATCATCGTCGAATTGTAACGGGCCAATCCGCGCGAAAATCCTCCAACAACCGGAAAAACTACTCAAATAAACACCATTAAACCCATTTTGTATTCAAAACAGAAGTGGAAGAAATTAATTTTTGCCCTCTCCTCATATTTCTTACAAGTTTGGTTGAAGTTGGTTAGGCAATACTCATTACACTTCGTTATTCGCTGTTTAGGGGGTGTTTAAAGGGTTGTTTGATTAATTTATACCTCCACATCGCTAAATAATATATTTTTACTTGTAACTATCACCCGTAGACCTCCATCTGGCCTTCTCCTAGACGGTTATCGAGCCACGAATCAGAACTCCCATCATACATCTACTAATAGTCGTAATTAACGAATCCTGTAGGCAATATATCGGTGCCTAGGGACTCGGAATGCAATTATTGAAAATGTCCGCGTCCGTTCGGCCGTCCTCCCGGCTTTCTGCCCGGCGCTGCGCCATCTAATTAATGTGTTTTGTTATTTAAATTTGCGTCATTAATTAACCCTCGGACGAGATGTCGGCAACAGTGCGGAGAGAGAGAGAAAGACCATTGTTTTTTCGCAGCAAAAGGGATTGTTCATTTTATCGGCTTATGAAGCTTTTCGGAACCGCCGGACGTGCACACGAGCTTTATATACGAGTTTTGCGCGAGCTTTGTTCGCGCAAAGAAGCGTTATGCGGGGAGAGAGAAAAAAATCGAGTCCTCGAAGGAAAACTTCTGATTAATAGTCGGGTTTCGGGGAGAAACTAGTTAGTCGAGTTTGTGCGCCGATTTTCCTAAATAAAGCGCCGGAAAATAACTCCGAATTAGGGCCCGCCATTGCGGCGAAACGTCGGAGATAGTTGTTTAATTAAATTCGTACCGGCACGAAAACTTTTCTCGCCGCACCGTCGAAACAAAACCAGGTAGAACGTTAGGCGGTCGAAAGGTAAATTGAGTAATTAAATTCGTTTAAGTTGAACGGTACAATCGATCGGAAAAAAAATCCTAGAACGTAGCGGAAGTAACGCGGGCGAAATTATGGACTTTGCCGCATATTGGTTCGGTGAATCCCCGATAACTGCCGGCCGGGGTAGCGGTTAGGTTCGGGGATTAGGCACTCGATAAGGGTCGGAAGATGTTACAATTCGGATTTCCCCGATATTGGCCGCGATTATTGCCTCTCGCATTTTTAGTTTTTCCGATATTGGTTTCGTTTCAATACCAAATTCCAATTTATTACTCTCTACACTATTCAACCTCATACCTCACTCAATAACATCAAACCTCACGTGTAATATATCAAATGTCAAGTGTCATATATCAAATGTCATGTGGCATTTATCAAATGTCATGTGTCATGTGTCAAAAGTGGATTGTTGATGGGTTTTTGGCGGTTGTTTCAGGTCGATGTGATGAGACTAGTCCGTGCGATCAGCTCTGTTATGAGTTGCACGATGGAATGTACGAATGCGATTGCAAAGAGGGCTATATACTGCGCGAGGACGGTTATAGCTGTTACGGTAAGATTATTTTTTTAGTTTAATAGAATGATAAACTCGGAAAAGTTAGGTGGAAGGAAAGCGAACTTTATTAGCGAAATAAAATCTCGCTGCAGGTCGGAAGGGAGAAAGAAAAAACTGGGTTTTTTTTTCTGTACCAATTATACGAGATAATTAGCCGGTTTTTCCGGCGATTTAAGGATCCGATAAGAAATTTACGCCGTTGTAATTATTCAGAGTTCTTTCTTTCGAGTAGCAACGGGAAAAGTTTATTTGTGTTTCCCGTCGACATAAAAATCCATTAAAAAGTTTCAGTTTAACTTAGCGACTGGTGTTAGTAATTATTTTACTCCGAGTTATTTGAACTAATTTTCCACTATTTCAACATTTATTTTTTAAAATTCTTATTTACCACTTTTTTTTTTCATTCTTTCTTCACGTTATTTTCCTCTTACTACTTTGCACTTGCAGAAATCAACTCGACGGTGTCCCCTTTTTCCGTCGAAGACCTGATGACGTCGGGCGTCGAGGACGTCCTCTATCAAAAGGACGCCGTGATGGACGCCGTCGAAATCCTCCCCGCCAACGCCACCGACGCCGCCAAACCGGACGACGCCGCGACGGCCGTCGTCAACGTCACGACGCCGTCCGTCGGCAAAATCAATTTCACCACTCAGGGTCCCCGGCTCGAGCAAAAACTCACCTCCGACGGCCACGCGGCCGCCAAATCGACGACGCCCATCCGCGCCGTGCCCAACATCACGGCCTCCGTCTCCACCGTCAAACCCTGCCCCCTCGACTGCGGCCCCGGCGGCGGCTGCAGCCTCGAAGACCTCGAAACCCCCATGTGCTTGTGCCCTCTCGGCCGGTCCGGCGAAAGATGCCAAATCGGTAAGGAACTTTGCCAACTGTCATTTGTCATCAATCATTTGTCGTTTGTCAACTGTCAAATGTCATTTATCAACCGTCATTGCAGCTGTTATTCCATCTTGGAGGCATGTTACTAGGCTAGTGAATATTTGAAGAAAGTTTGGATTAAAAATGGAGGTTTTTCACTCTAACTGCATGTTTGTCAACTGTCAAATATCATCTATCAAGTGTCATATGTGAACTATCATTGCTGCTTTTATTCTCTCTTGGAGACAGTTACTTATTTTTACTATCCAATGGCAATTAATGTATTCTTAAAGATCATAAATTTTGATTGAAATATGAATTTTATCTCAAAAATCAACTGTCAAATTTCATTTATCAAGTGCCATTTGTCAACTGTCATTGCGCCTTTTTTCCCGTCTTGGGGACTGGTACACAGTAAGTAACTGCAGTTGGTAGATTCTTGAGGAAAATAATGATAAATTTCGATGGAAAATGGAATTGTTCGCTCTAACTGCATATTAGATCGGCTTCGATTTGGATGGGAATAGGCAATTTTTATTAAAGATTTCTGGATGAAATATCGACGGGGACATTAATCGCGTCGAAAGATACGATTTAAAATTCTCCTCACCGTCTTATATTATCGATATTAAATTCGTTTTGTAGCCCCTAATGCATCGATGGGGTCCCATTAGACCGCTTGAATCGCGCGTTCCGCGTCATTCGGAATCCGATAATGACGTATGACAATTGACGCGCGACGTTTAATTACCATCTATCGATTGTTAATAGCGGATGAAAACAAAAAAATCGCGTAAATAATTCAGCGGATTCGATGGATTTATTAGGGCGGAAACGTAAATTCGACCTCACAACTCTCGGGTTTTACCAACTTTAAACGAGGCACAACGGCGCTAAAGTTATGACTGAACTTCCGATAAACGGATTTAATGTTTCGACGAAACGCTGTAGAGAGGTAATTAATTCGGCGGTTTTAATCGATTTCGCAATTAAACGAAATTTGCGCCGAAACAATTTTCCATTAACGAACAAAATTTAACCGCTTATTACTAACAAAACAAAAATCCGCTCCAGTATCAAATTGCTTATCGAATTCCCTCCTACAAATGACAGGTGACCAATTTGATATGACAAATGACAGATGTCAAATGACAAACAAAAATATCAATCGAAATTTATCGAATTCCCTCCTACAAATGACAGGTGACCAATTTGATACGACAAATGACAGATGTCAAATGACAAACAAAATTTTTATCACTTTATTAATTGACACATTTTATAGTACGTTCAGAATTAATTTTAAAATGTATCAATATGTCCGGGGGTTAAAACTAAATTGGTCTTCACGTGAATACGCGTTATTAAAATGTTTTCAAATTTGGGGGTTGACTTAAGAATGAAATTACCTTTAAAACGAGATGTCACTTGACCCCCCTTTCCATAAGAAAAAAAGATTCAAAATGGCGCCTAACTGTCATTTTGAAAGTTTCAACTGTCATTTTTACGTCAAAAAAATAGTATTTTTACTCCAATATAAACACCCCAAATTGCGCGACAAAAGCTCTTACCATTCAAAAGTTAATGGGGGGGGGGGGCGACGGACTTTTGGTCCTCACTGTATATTTATTTGTATATGCCTAATACTTATACATTTAAATGGCACTTGATCTTTGATATTTAACAGTTGACAAACTTGTAGTTAGAGCGGAAAAAACTCCTTTCTCAATCGAAATTCCAAGAGAGACTCCGAAAGAGAACAAAAGCTGCAATGACAGTTGACATACGACACTTGACAGTCGATGAAAAAATACGAAATTAGATAAAATAATATCGATCCTTGTCCGTAGAAAGGGAGATCGAATCGCCGAGATTCACGGGCTCGAGCTGGCTGGCCTTTCCGGCCCTGCGAGGAGCCTACAAGCACGTCCAGCTGAGCCTAGAACTGAGGCCGGAAGCCTACGATGGAATCTTCTTTCTGACGGGCGAACGCGACGATATGGCCGGCGATTTTATGGCATTGCTGCTGCATCAAGGCTTCGTGGAATTCCGGTGAGTTCCCAACGCTATAACTTTCTTTAAAGCGATATAGAATTTGTTTGCGAACGAACCATCTTTAGATATACGGAGTTTATACCGTTTGAACGGGATAATCGGCGTTAGACTTCTTCAATAAATAACCGGTAATTATTTGAGTTTCCCTCTTTGTTTGGTTTCGACTCTAAACGTTCGCTCTAATCCCGTTCGCCGACAGCGGAGCAACGTAGAGCAGAAACCCGGTATATAAACGAACGTAGGTGTTAGTAAGCGACTAAATGATGTGCGACAAGGGTATGCTCGGAAGTGTGGAAGGGAATTAATTCGTAATTCCAGCGGTTTTTAGACGAAGGGCGAGAAGAGGGACTCCCGCAGTTTCCAACGTTTAATTAAGTTCCATCGGGAGAGATCCCGACACTAAAGGTCGACGGATAAAAAAATAACCAATTAAACGAAACGAAAATCTCCACGAAAACGTAAAAGAAACCGATGAAATAGTTTGGCGGTAAATACAGCGGAATCGCGAACAACGCGAGAGTCGGAAAGTCGGCGCGCGGGGCGCATTAGCGCGGAACATTTTACGGGAGACGGCGCTATCGATCGACGGGGCATTTTACCTACCTGGTGGAGGTGTCACGCAGGGCCACTACACTATCCACGCTTCGACGGCCGTTGGAGATTTCGGCGGCGAAGGGGGCCGCATCGGAGGAAATTGTATTGCATTCGCTTCGTCCCCCCCCGGTCGAGGTATCCGATAATTGACGGAATGAATCGCCGGGGCGGAGGCCCCTTAAGGGGGGTTGAAAGAGCTCATGGAATTCACGGAGGGTTTTACGTGCATGCAACCGCGCTTAACGATAATTCCATCGGAGTTTTTATGGCGTTGGTACAAAGTTCTAATGGTTTGTTGGATTTGTTTTGTACCGCAGAAGATGGAAGAGCAACAGTGAGAGTTCGAATGATTTCTGGATTAGATGGAAGATGGGAAAGTTGGAGTAAAACTCAATAAAGTTGTATCAAAATTTACGGAATTAGATGGAGAAATTAATGATTAAAGAAGTAGTTAACAGTAATGAAGACAACCAATTAATATAAGATTCGAAACTTAACCAGTTCTTCTTCATCGTTACCACTTTCTGAGCCAAATCTTTTGTCCAAATATTAGAGAAGAAGGTGAATTTCTGAATTAGAAGATGGAAAAGTTGGAGTAAAGCTCAATAAAGCTGTATCAAAATTTAGGTAATTAGTTGAAGAAATTAATGATCAAAGAAATAGTTAACAGTTATGAAGACAACCAATTAATATAAGAACCCAAACTTAACCAGTTCTTCGTCATTACTACTTTCTGAGCCAAATATTTTTTTCAAATATTAGAGAAAAAGATGAATTTCTAGATTAGAAGATGGAAAACTTGTAGTGAAACTCAATAAAGCTGTAATCAAAATTTACGGAATTAGTTGGAAAAATTAATGATCAAAGAAGTAGTTAACCGTAATGAAGATAACCAATTAATATAAGATTCAAAACTTAACCAGTTCTTCTTCATCATTACTACTTTCTGAGGCAAACCTTTTGTTCAAACATGATGATGATTTATATGAAGATTTTAATGAATATTTAGATTCCTAACGTTCCCAGTTCTTCTTCTACATTATCATCGGACCGAATCTAAATTTACTAATTCCGAATAAACTACAGAGAGGTCTCAAGAAATTAATAACAACCCAGTTCCCCAATTCCCAATAGGGAAATCTACCATACACCCATTCGTTTACCTACCCTCGAAACACATTCCTCCTCGGCTCGAATCGGACCCGAATTACTCGATTCATTTTCGAACTAATCGCAAACATTCCATCAACGTCCCGGCGCCCCGAGGAAATCGCGAGCGAAAAAGGACGCCGTTATATCCTTTCCGGTTCAACGACACAAATCAAATCCAGTTTATGCATGTATCGAATGTCCGGACAATGCGATGAATTGAAAGAGGACACGCTAAACGGACTCCGAAGGGTTTCCACCGGTCGGATTGATTCGTTCGAGCCAAACGAAATAAATCGATCGGATTGCATTTTATCCGGTCCGGACGTCGCGACGCGTACTTACGCGTCGACCTGTGTACGGTGCATTTCGTAATTAAATTCCGGAATGTTCTGGATAACGGGGTATTCCCGCAACGAGCGTCTGGATATTATTAGGTCATCGTGTAACGCGGTAATTGAAACCAGTGCATTGGCATTTCAATGGGGGGGAATACCACATAAACATATATGCATGCAGCGCGAATCGATCCGTTTATTGACGATGATAAACGATTGAGGAGAGTGATATTAATAAAGCAAGGCGGATTCGACATTTTGACGGGTCTATCGAGATAGCTAAAGATTTCCTAACAGGTGGTTATAATTTATGGTCTTTTTAGTATCGTTTTATGAATGTAACTAACCATCAATAGTAAATTGTTAACGTCGATTCGACGTTACGTGTCTGCCAACTTCGGGTAATTAAGCGTTGCCAACTTCGAAACGTCAAAATAGTTTATTTGTCGATACATCAGGGGAACCGTCAATTAAAGAGGCCCCGGCTAATTTCTCAGCGCCGGGATGAATAAAAGTGGAAAGTTGTACGTCTCGCGAAAATCGTTACGTCGGGGAATTCTTTATGCGTTTTTCCTGGCGCTTTTTCCGAACCTTCGCAACCGATCGCTTTATTGGGGAGCTATATAACCGATCCGGCGGGCTTCCTTCTTCTCTGGCCGTTCTCTTATTGAATTATCGAAATGCTTTTTTTCCCTTTCCCAATCTAGTACATTCGTTCCGTTTTCCGTTATCGGGAAAACTCGTTTATTTGTAAGCATTATGATTGGATGTGTATTAGTTTTCAATAGTTTTCTGGCATCCTCTGGGCATGAATGTTTCTTCGAATGCTCCGATAGACTGTCATTTCCAATATGATTTTTTTCTTTATCTATTTTTTATATCATATTATTATAGTTCACTTATTTTTTAACCATCCAATCTCTCTATTATGATTCTGCTCTTGTGACCTAAGAGCAACATTAAATAAAGATTCCTCCAGATTCTTATTTTTGAATAATTCAACACACTTCTCCACCTGTACCCAGAAAGTCCAGAATGACTATTTCTACCTTAAAACTTTATAGTTTCTTCCACAGATTTCTTTGGAATACTCTTTAAATAGTCCAACACACTTTTCTATTTGAATCTAAAGGGTCCAGAATGACTACTTTTAAAGTCTTTCTACTCCTTAGTATCTTCCCAAATACCTCTAATATCTTGATCCCTTAGAATCAAAAGGTCCAAAACCACAATTTTCAAAGTCCTCCAAAACCTTCCTAAAACACTTTCTTCAGTAATATCTCTAAAATATCTCTAAAATCTTGATCCCTTGGAGTCAAAAGGTCCAAAACCACAATTTCCGTCCCAATGATTCAACACACTTCTCCACCTATACCCAGAAAGTCCAGAATAATTATTTCTACCTAAAAACTTTATAGTTTCTTCCATTCTTCCACAGATTCCTCTAGAATACTCTTTAAATGGTCCAACACACTTTTCCATTTGAATCTAAAGGATCCAGAATGACTACTTTTTAAGTCTTTCTACTCCATATATAGTATCTTCCCAAATACCTCTAAAATCTTGATACCTTGGAATCAAAAGGTCCAAAACCACAATTTCCAAAGCCCTCCAAAACCTTCCTAAAACACTTTCTTCAGTAATATCTCTAACATACCTCTAAAATCTTGATCCCTTGAAATCAAAAGGTCCAAAACCACGATTTTCAAAACCATCCAAAAACACTTTCTCTAGTAACACCAACATGAATTTCCCGATTTATCCAAACATTTGTCGTGTGGCAGATTCGACTGCGGCTCGGGCGTGGGCGTGGTGCGCTCCGAGGAGACGGTGCTGCTGAACCAATGGAACCACGTGACGTTGTACAGGCACCGGTGGGACGCGTGGCTGCAGCTGAACAACGGCAAGCACGTGCAGGGCCGCAGCAAGGGCCTGTTCTCGCGCATCACCTTCAGGGAGCCGCTGTTCATCGGCGGGCCGGGCAACACCACCGGCTTGGAGGAGAAGCTGCCCGTCTCGAACGGCATGAAGGGCTGCATCAGGCACTTGGAGGTGAACGATCACGCGTACAAGTTCGCGCCGGTGCCCAAGGGGGAGGCGGCCAAAGGGTATGGAATCGGTGAGTCGATAATTACGCGATGTAATCGCTTTTATTAATAGAGGGGGGAACGTTCGGCTCTATCGAAGGGTTTGTTTACGGTAAATTCGCACTTTGTTGTTTTGGTTAAAGTGGGGAAATATTAGGCGAGGCGATTTAATTAAAAGTTCATAATAGGTGTGAGTAATTTGTGACCGGTTGCACCAATATATCCTAGGTTATATTTTATTAGTCTGACTTAAATTTGTGATCTACTTAAGATTGGAATATGTTGCACCATTTTCAAAAAATGCTATTATACCTATGATCCATTTTAAATTAGATAACAACTGGCAAAGTAGCAATATTGTTGAAAAACTTGAAAAGAAGGAGATGATTGTTATTTTAAGAGTCAAAATAACCTATTAATTGTAGGGGTTAATGGAAAGAAGATCAAAAGAAGAAGTTGTGGTTTTTTACCATATCCTGTAACCTGTAACCTAAAAATTAGTACATTCATAATTAAATTATGGCTAAATTTAAATATATGTAGGGACGTTCTTTTTTGTAGGCGAAACCTTTTAAAAAATTCTTCGTCCGAGAATGTTTCAAAATAATTAGTTCTTATTCGAATTTGTCGTTGCATATGAATATCTACCACATTAATTTCTTCCTCTGCATCCTCTATTATATCTTCATTAACCACAATATTTATATCTGCATTTATATCCATAATTTTACAACTGTCCCGACAATTCTCAAATTTTGGAGTTTAACATTTTCGTCTTAAGTCGTAGAAATCGGCAATCTAAGATTTGTGATCGATTCGTATCAAAGGAAAGAGATGTTTAGTTGGTGCAAGAGTATAAAATTGATTCTAGGAATTCATCCTAGAATGCTTTGGTGTAATTGGTCATTAAATATGAAAGTAATTTCCTATTGAATATAAACATCACCTTATTAATAACTAATAATGAATTTTTGTTATTTTCTTTTTTAGAGGAATGCACTGCTGATAGATGTAGTCACGTGCCATGTCAACATGGAGGTAAATGCCTAACGAGCGACAAATCGGCCATTTGTTTGTGCCCTTTGGGGTTTTCCGGCGACTTATGCGAAATCCGAGTTGATTTACAAGTAAACAAACCGACCCTCTACACACAAATTTACCTATTTCATTCTTGATATTATTGTATCAGGTACCATCATTCAACGGTTCGAGCCACCTAAGGTACCGCGGATTAGCCGAAACCGCCCTGACGTGGCTCGACCTGGACGTCACCTTCAAACCCACCTCACCGGACGGGCTGCTGATCTACAACGGCCACCGCATCGACGGCTCCGGCGACTTCATCGGCGTCCACCTGGACGCCGGCCACGTCGTCTTCACCTACAACCTCGGCACCGGCGCCGCATCGGCGACAACCCGCCGGCCGGTCGCCTTGGGCGAATGGCACCAGCTGAGGATATCGCGCACCGGCCGGCTCGCCGTGCTCGCCGTCGACCGGCAGCCGCCCGTCGAGGTGCTCAGCCCCGGCGCCTTCACGCAGCTCTCGCTGCCCCAGAACCTCTACCTGGGCGGCGTGCCCAACTTCGGCATCGTCGCGCCCCACATACCGGCCAAGACGTCGTTCGTCGGGTGCATCCAGCGCGTGCGCGTCAACGCCCAACCCGTCGCCATTCTGGCCGAGGCCCTCGGCGGGGCCAACGTCGACAACTGCCCCCATCCGTGCGTCGCCAGGCCCTGCGGCGAAGACGGCGACTGCGTACCCGAAATGGAGTACTTCTCCTGCAAGTAAATCCACCGATCTCACCCCTTCGAACACCCGCTACTACTGCTAACCATTCCAGGTGTAAACCAGGCTACAGAGACCGCTTGTGCTCCAGGGGCCCGCCTTACTTCCACGGCGAAGACAGCTACATTCGAGCGGGCGACGCCGCCGCCGTCGAAGCGGCGTCGTCGGATCGCTTCGTGGTGAATGTGCGCTTTAAAATCGCCGATAAATCGGGCCTCTTACTCAGCGCCTTCGGCAACGGCAGCTACCTCTCGCTGGGGCTCGAAGACGGGGCGCTCGTGTTGAGGTTCAACACCCGAGGCGGCGACGAGGAGATCAAAGTGGTGCACAACTCCAGCACCGTCTACGACAGGCTCTGGCATCGAGTCAAAGCCGTTAAGTACGTACGATGAGGTTCTTTTCAGGGGGCTTGTGTGGGGTACACGAACTACAAGAGTTCGTGAATCATTCGAGTAATAGTATTAGATAGATAATAAGTGTTATAAGAAACCTCTTTGTTGCAGGAGCGGTTCCATCGGCCTACTGATAGTGGATAACGGCGCCGCGGTGACGCGACAATCGGTGGACGTTTCGACGAGGAAAGTAATCGATCCGAGCGACGAGGGGCTGTACGTGGGGGGCATGCCGGGCGCGTCGTTGAGGAGGCTAACGGGGTACTCGACGGGCATCGTGGGCTGCGTGGCCGACCTGGTGGTCAATACGGATCTGCACCTGCAGCTGGTGGCCCGATCGGAGCTCGGCCACAACGTCAGTGAGTGCGAGGCATGAGCCCGAAACGCCGTCAATTAAAAACTGATGAATTAACACGAAACCTTACACGATTAAAACAGAACACACACACGTAAATATAAATGCAAATACAAAGTATAATTGAAAGTCAATATTTATAGCGCAATTGAGACCAAACAAAACAAGAGTAATGACAAAGTATATGTATGATATAATAAAGAGACGCCCGGGGGCCTAGGACTTTTTAGCGTGAATGTATAAAAAAAAACGATTCTTCTAGAACTGGAACTTTTTTCCTTTATTTTGACCCGAGAGCGATGCAAAATGGAAGAATATAAATATTATAACTCATAAGGCTGATTTACCGACATGATTGAAACACTAGCCGAGATGCGGTCATGACAATTAATAGTAGAGTAGCAATTACCCAATATTCAAACAATATTTACTTAGCACATATCATCGAGATTTTGCTATAATTTACTAATACTAATAATGCAATGTTTAATTCACAAGTCAATTCGTTTATTAAAAAGTGAGAAGTCTATAAATTGGTACATATCCTGTTGAAAAAGCAATAACTTTCGTCCATAAAACAACGAATGTATACGACTCGATTTTTCAGTTAAAAAAATACAATCGAGTTACTATTAATTGAATAAATTGGTGTAATTAAAAATACAGCATTTGCTACTCTACTATAATGTGCCTTAAAAAAAATCAGTATCACAAATCGTAATTTTTTCATGTAAGAAAAAACTATTAAAAAAGGCAGTAATGTTTGTTACCGTATCTTAAAAAAAGCAGACCTAATTCTGTTATTTAAAAAAAATATTCCAGGTAAAATCTTTATGTAACAACAATCGATTTTATTTGTAGTGGAATAAATACATAGAAAAAAATCGAAAAAAAATCGGGCTATTTATTATGTAATAAAGCAAATATTTAAATTCGAGAATTAGGTCGAAGGGTTACTCAAATAATCCGATAAATTTATGTTAATTGCCAGCCGACAAAGGCACAATTCGGGGATTTGTGTTTAGAATTGTAGATAGTTTGACTAAAAAATGACTTAATTATAAGATCGGGCTTTTGTACTGTCTTTCATTTTTTGATAAGTATATTTAAATAAATCTTAATAAAACGTCGAAAAGCATCCAAAAGCTGCTTTTCACGAAAATAACGTGCATTACCAATAACCCGTCACCCTTTGATTAATCTTCTATAATTTATTAGTATAAATTATATAAATCAATCACCTCGTATTTTGTGAATTTAGAAACGAATATTTTAGTGAAAGGCACGCGCACATAATAAAAATAACTTCGATCATATCATTTTTAGATAAGACTTTCGACGTGTAGCGTTCGCGAAAATTCCAATTTCCCGGATGCTTTTCCGCGTTTCGTCCGCATTGTCACGTTTTCGCAATAAAAAAAAAATTAGGTACTAATTGGTCCAGTGTAAAACCCACCTTGTTATATAACTAATGTATATGAACTCTTATTTGTACAGGTAGACTAATTTGTGCGTTATTAAAATGCTTTTGATCTAAATCCCGACTTTGATTCGACTCTAGTTTTCAATGTGACGTTATTTTCTAGTGATACACCTAGTTTTTATTTGGCTTGTTTTATATCACAACAATTGGGTTAATAAAAACAGTTTATTATGTGGTTTTTATTTTGTTTCACAAACACTTTACGCGCATTTGTTGATTGTTATCGCGCTGTCGTTTGTACAGTTGGGTTTCAACTGGAATTTTCTCACGAATGGTCTCCTTTTAGGCACTAAAAATATATAAATAATCACTCCAGTTTTTCCCCTACGCAATAAAAATACACTCACGACTCCTCCAAGCGATGTAGTTTTGAACATCGTCCTCTTCCAATGACTTGCGCTGTAGAGGATCAAATCTATCTCCTTTAAGGAGCTGAGCTGAAACAGCCTTTTGCAACGGCGGTGGATAATTCTTCGGTAAACCTGCAAGGTTCCTATTAACCGATGAAAATCGATATAAATCGAACTACAAACCCTCCACCACGTCCGCCAAATTGATCGGGTGCTTCTCGCGACCCTTCATCGCCATCCTGCGCACTTCCAGGCGCTTCAGGAACTCCCTGGACGTGTCCGATACGCTTTTACCATCCAGAGTTTCTAAATGAAAAAGCATAATTCGTTTCTGGATGAGCTAAGGACGCGATTCTCACCGAGATAGTAGGAATTGACGATTATATCCTCTCTGTATCTGTGACTTTTAGTAATGGGATTGCCTTTGAACACGGCCACTGTGAGGTACCTCCAGTTGCTGATGGTCTCGCAGACTTCCTGCAAATCCTCCAGTTCGCAGTTGGAGGCGTCGATCGATTGGAGTTCCTCCAGAAAGGACAACGAAGAAAACGAGGGGATTTTGTTGTCTGATATATTGAGCACCCGCAACGTTCTCTGGTACAGGAAATTATAATTCGAAAGTTCTGATACAATTAATAGGTACTTACAGACAGGCTTATGGTGCACCTGGGATCGAAGCAAATGCCCATACCGTCCGGGAGGTTCTGGTGCTCCACGTGCAACTCCTCGAGATTGTAGAGGTTCTCCAAGTTCTCCAAAACGGAGATCTCGTTGTGGCCGATGTATAATTTCCTCAATTTCTCAAACTCCAAATGATCGATTTTCTTTAAACGGTTGTTTTGGAGGTACAACGAACACAAATTCGGAAATATCCCGTCGTTTAAGTTCTCGATCGAGCGGATCTGGTTGTTGTACAAATACACCACGATGACGTCTTTGGAAGGCTCGAATTTCGGCTGAAATTACACCTAAACTATGTATTTTTTTTCTATTATTAATATATTAAACTTACGATTTTCTGGAGGTTCTTCTCCTGCAAGCACACGTGGCTGCATTTTTTGTTGCGTGCGGCAGTTTTGGTTTTGTTTTCAACCTTCTGAATTTCCAACATGTTTTATTAATGTCAGGTAATGTTGCTCATATGATAAGTTTGATCGATACCTACAGGGTGAGCCAAAATAATTTACCTTACCTGGCGACGAAATGAGTTTAATCGATGCAACAATGGAGGCGATAAGGGATGTTAAGTTAAATCCGAGGTAAATTTGTAATACTGGGTTGTATGATTTATTAAATTGAATGTTATTTTTTAGTAAGATTAGTGGCTTGTTGGAGCTTTTTACGCGCGAAAATCTCCAAGCTTTAGAGGAAGCTTTTAAGGAATCGACTGAAACTGGACTCAACAAGGAAGAATTCTGCGATAAATTCCAACGAATATGCAACACCAGTAAGCTACATAACATTTATTCACCGAATACTTATAAATAACATTCCAGGTAACGAACAAAGCCTGCTGTTATACAACAACGCCGTCCAAAACTCAACCAATTTAACCTGGAGCAAATTCCTCGACTACCTCATCGAAAACGCCTCACCAAAAACCTACTCGCCCCTGCAACTCACCACCGGAGCTATCGAAGCCGCCTCTCACGCCACCGTAAGTCCCTCAAAATCTTCTTCCACCACCGGCCTCGACCTTCTCGGCTATCCACGCATTTCAGCGCGAAACCATTCGAAAGATAGTCGTCATAGAAACGGACAAATACTTCTGCTACGTCGCGGTGTCCTTGCACGGGCGCGTCGGCGTCTACGATGGCAACGCGAACTTCCTCACCTCCTATCACGCCGTCTTCACCGAGCACGACCTGAAGCGCTCCGACGACGAGAGGAGACGAAGAAACCGGTGGATCACCGACGCGGTTTTTTGCCCCGATTCGCAAATGCTCGCCTTGGCGAGTTCCACCAGAAGCTTGGCGATTTACGAAGCTTCGGGTCTCAAGCACGAGCCCTGCTGGTTAATAACTGGTTATCCTGAGATCATACAAGTATGTTTTATAAAGGGAGCGATTTATTAACGAGTAATTTTTAGTGTTTAACGTACAGGTGCGGCTCGAAGTTGAAGAAGAGAATGCCGGTGAGCGTGCTGATCGGCGGTACTTCCTCCGGTGATTTGTTGCTGCACAAATTCCTGCAAGTTGCGCCACTTAGAAGGAAACATGCTGATAGGTTGAGCATATATTACTGGCATGTGGGTACTTGATTTGCTTGTATAAAAACTATTATACCGTACTGTTAATTGCAGGAATTAAAAAAAGAAACGTCTTATATGAGGATTAAATGGATCAAAAACGTCCATTCCTGCGAAGTGGAACGGATGGATTATAACAGCAAAGAGGACGCGATAATTTCCTGTAGTAAAGATCCAGAAGCGTCCTTAGTTAAAACGTTTTTAATAGCAGGAAAATGTCCTTACGTTTTAAAAATCCGGAAGGTACGATGAGAGCGTCATATGTCATATGTCATTAACGTCATTTTATTGTAGGGTTGTACTTGCTTCACATTCAGCAATATTTTGAGCATTATAGTTACAGGTAGCGCAGATAATACAATAAGAATATGGAATTCTGTACTGGATTCGAACGTTATAGCTGTATTAAAAGGACACGAATCGAAAATTCAAGATGTCGCCGTCATGGACACCCAGAGAATATTGCTGTCTTTTTCCGCCGACGGCGTGAGTGCACTGGCCTCTTACTATCGCAATATTCAACCAGTAGATTATTGCAGGTGGTGAAAGTTTGGAACATTGACGATAATAAATGCCTTCAATCGGAGAAAATTCCTTTTCCTGCTTATACGACACTAGGAAAATCTGTGGAATACGGGAAAATCGCTCTCCATCCCGGTCCGAAGAGGCAACCCACCAGACCGTCGGTTAAAAATGATCGAAAAATTAGTGAAAAATATTTCGGGATTTCCGAAGTGGAAGAACGACCCACCAGCGAATTGAATCAGAGGTGTAGATAAGATAATTCAAAATCGCTATATCTTAAAATTTTACTGTTTTTAGTACAGCTATTTCATGCGTTTGGGAAAGAAGTAATATAATAGTGACATGCTGTAATTACATAGCGAAAATTAGGACGGTTTTCGATAACGTGGACATGGAAATTTCCAATGATATGCCGGTTTTTCCACCGCCTCCTTTACAAAACAGCGTGTTAATACCGTCCTCTTGGCAAGTCCCGATGGAGAATACGATGGAAAATCAAAACCAGTAATTAATAATTAGAATTAATTAATAAAATAAACTAACTTGTGCCTCTATTTATTAGAGAAGAATTGGAATTGGCGACAAATGAAGCATGCAAAAACCTTGATTTCATCTTTAACAAAGATTTGCTCGAATTAGGTGGCAGTAAACTCGACATTAACTACAGAATAGCCCAATTGGAAGCTAAAAAAATCCAAGCGAGTATCGCAAATAAAACTGCCGAAAATAACTGTAGACGTGATCTGCGCGCGCATCCATCTACAGCTATTTCCGTTTGATTGTACGCTAATGTAATGAATTTTAGATGAGAAATCACGTTGCAAGAGGCACTCCTTTCCTCGCTTTGAATTTATCCGAATTGGAAGATGTTAAATTATTTAAAGAAGAGTCTTCTAGATCTCCATCTATTAAAAATATCGTCGAAAATATTAACGGAATGTTAAGAAACGCTTCGTTAAAGGACGAAATATTATCCAGGTACTCTTCTAGCAAATCCACTCCATCTTATCATACCAAATAAGTACAATGCGTTTATTATTCGATTTAATTTTAATGTATTCACAATAAAGTGTTATTTTTATCGACCGAACAACAGCGTTTTTATCTCAACTATTCTACACATACATCCTCTTTTCGATAAATAAGAAACAAACGATGAATTAGAGGACATTCGTTCAACATGTCCCCGCTCGTTCGCATCGCAATCGTCGTTATTTTCAACCTCCATTCAACCAGCAGCAACATTTACAACCACACGCAAATAGGTAAGCCCTCCGCCTAATCCATCAACTAACTCTAAAAATCCGCTTCGAAACAGACTTGAGCAAATGCCAAACGTACTACTCGCGCTCGGGCACCGTCTACAGGGACTTCTTCTCCATCGAAGACCTCACCACGAAGAACTCCACGCTACTGTTGGACTTCCACTTCTCGGTGATCGCTTCCAGCGACGCGCACGTCCTCCTGGCGCCCTCCGAGACCGTGACAAAAACCGATCCGGTGTACGAGATCGTCTTCGGAGCCGGCGGAAACTCCTTCTGCGATATCAGGAGGCGGCAGAAGTCCATAGTAAAAGCCACGATTAAAATAAAAGGGTTGCTCAGCGGGTTGGATCCTCGCTCGTTTTGGATACACGTCACCAAAGGTACCCATTTAGTACTCTTAAATTACAATATTTCGACTAAAAACTCGTTGTGCAGATGGCGAGATTAGCATAGGTAAAGAAAACGAGGAAGTACCTATATTATCTTGGACGGATTCGGATCCTCTTCCGCTGAAAGTCATCAGCTTCAGCACCTGGTCGGGCATAGAAGCCAAGTGGTACTTCGATTGCGACATAAACGATACAACAGTGAGTGAATTTGGACTGTTTGGATTTGTGGTGGTTGATTAGAAACGTTTGCAGGAAATCCAGAAACCGATGACGCACGTGGAGAAGCTCCGGAGGGATTTGCTCGGCGGATACGATCCCTACGTGAGACCGGTGAAGAACATTTCCACCATGACAAATGTCTCTATGGTGTTGAAAATCGACCACGCTAGCTTGGTAACGAAGCTGGTATAAACCAGCAACATGTATTTATTAAATTTTGTTTTTATAGAACGAACACAAAGCGATTATGGAGTTGCTGGGAGTTACTGTTTTGGTATAATTTATGAGCCGATAATAAAGTATTCTTCATGTTTTGTAACCTGCAGGTTTGGAATGACGAGAAGTTGCTGTGGGATCCTGATCAATACGGAGGAATTACCGCCTTGCATATATTCAGAAGAGAAATCTGGCAACCGGATTTAGTTCTATACAAGTAAGTGAAGTAACATACTGGGTGAAAAAAATGAATTCATTAACCTAGTGGACATAAAGAACAACCTGTTGTACAATAAAATAATTTATGACCTTTTCGTTATATAACTCTGTGTCAGTGCCGTGGGAGACGTTCGAGATTTGGTGGAGGACACGATGATGTTGGTGAATTTCATGGGTAAAGTGGAGTGGCAATCGAAGGTGAAATTAAAGGTGTTTTGCGATAGCAAAGACATGGGCGCCTGGCCCAAGGACAATCATACTTGCAAAGTGATCCTGGGCTTCATGAGGGACCTGGCGAATTTGCAGTTGAATTTCAGGGAAAACGAAAGTTCTTTGGTGGGTGTACCGAGTTGTGTTGGGTGAATTGGCGAGTTGAGTGAAATTCTTTTCGTAGATTCTGGACGATAATTCGGAATGGATGATCCTGGATGTGGGTGTTGCATTTTCGTCTTACAGCAATGTCTCACAATTGCCGATTTTCGAAATGGTCTTTACGCTGCAAAGAAATTCGAACGTTTATGACTTGTTGTTTTTCACACCGTTTGTTTGTAAGTGAAATTTTCTCCCTATTATCAGTTAATTAATTCGAATTTTTCCAGTTATATCTCTATCAACTTTGGTTAGTTTCTGGGTAGATCCTTTCGGAAAACTCAAAATATCAATCGGAAGTTTACAGTTACTCCTTTGTACAATCATGCTGGTAGTTTTTGGAATGATAACGCCTCATCACGTGAATAAAGTACCATTTTTAGGTCAGTATTCAACGTAAAATCAACTTGTATATTGAATTAAATTATTATTCTTTTAACAGTATCAGTCTACGCTTACAGCATGATTGCCGTTTTAATTTCCATAATAATAGCAGTGTTGGTGATAAACCTGTCGAGAAACCATCACCAAAGGAGTGTTCCTCGATTAATTAACTATGTATTGTCCAGTAGAATTCTAAAAGCGTGTCTGCTCTTGAAGGTATGATGTAAAGGAATTAATTAGTCATATAAATTGATTGTTTAATTTGTTCTAGACGCCTTATAAGCACGGAAATTTGAATGAAGACACGGAACAAAATCAAGCCACGTGGATTTTGTTAGGAATAGTACTAGATAGATTAGCTTTTTTGTTGTATTTGGGGTTAACTATTTATGTGGTTGTCTCGAAGGTGATGTGTTGATTAATTTTTATTTCGAAAAGAATGTATAACTCTCTTTTTAAATTGATAACTTTTGTATTATTTTATAAATAAATACGTACATAAAAATTTGACTAGTCGGTATTAACATTGTAATATGTTAGTGTACAAAATTAAATTACCTAGTTTCTAAGTACTGTTTGGCTCCATTTACATAAATTTTATTATTATTGTTACAAACTTATATAATTTTAATACGTTTAAAATTCCACCTAAATACAGCGCTTGTAATAAATGTATGTTTTCTTACCTCGTACAAATACATTTAAATAGCACCAATACATTTTACTATTGTCTAAATGTATATATAAATTTTATTAAAAGTTTACTTATATTAGCTACATTTACCTATCAATAAAATTATGGCACTAAATCAAATTAATTATTTTTGTACCAAAACACAAATACTGAGTTACGCAAATACAAACTATAAACACATGGAAGACTCCGCGGAAATGAGTTACAAATAAAATTATTCCACATATATAAAACCAGTCGATTCTTACACCTATACAAAACCTTCATCAAACGTAAATCTCCCCGGCGGGCAGCTTCTCCCCGTTGATCACCGACACGATCTCGATGGGCGCCCTCACGTACACGTTCTTCACCAGGTTCCCGGCGTCGCGGCGCGCCGCCGGCTCCTTCGCCGGCTCGTCCTCCTCCTTCACCTCCTTCAGGCTGCTCGACTGCCGCGAGTAGTTCCTGCTGCTCTTCAGGAAGCTCTCCGACGTTTGCTGCGACGACGCGTGCGTCGACGAGCTGGTGCTCTTCCTCGTCATCTCCGGCTTCTTCAGGTACCTGCAATCGCACCAGCAACCCGATTTTATTAATTTTTGGTGGAGGAGCACAGATAAGCGAAGATTAGCTTTTAAAATTTTGGTGGATGAACCAGGTAAGCGAAGATGTGCTTTTGAAATTTTGGTGGAGGAACCAGGTAAGCGAAGATGTGTTTTTGAAATTTTGGTGGAGGAACCAGGCGATTCTAGAGCAGGAATTTTCGAGTAACTAACTAACCTTTTGCGGAGCTTCCTTCCTGCGCACAACCTGAAGAACCCCCCCCTGAACTTGGAGCTCATGATGTTGTACAAAATGGGATTGACGGCGGAGTTGATGTGGAACATGATCCTGGAGAAGTACAGTATGTTGTAGTACCTCTCGAAGCCGAGTTCGAAGCTGGAGCCGGCGGGCGCGATGATGATCCACAGGGTGAGCGCCCGGAAGGGCAGCAGGCAGACGAAGAAGGCCAGGACGACGGTGCCCAGCATCAGGATGACCTGCTTCCTGTACTTCTGGACGCTCTGGGCGGGCGCGGCCGAGGACCGGGCGGCCACCATCGCCAGCGGCTGGGACATCAGCGACGTGGCGATGAGGGCGTAGACGCATATGAGGATGCCCAGGGGGAATATGAAGAAGACCACCACGGATCCGATGAAGAATATGCAGGGGAAGAGGTCCTCGACTAGGCTGAAACAGACAAACACAAGCGAACCGTCGATGTATTCTTCGGTGCTGTACTGGGTGATCGCCAGGATCGGACTGGAAAGAATAGAAACGGGTGAATTAATCGATGGTTGTTGTTCGGGGTTCGTTTGCAATTATCACCTATTTCGTAATTAATTGGATTATTTTACGCTTTTTTGGCGAAGCTTGTATTAATTAGTAGATAATCGAGCGGTTAAGATTGCTTCTATATGCGTATAGGTGATGATTGCACGGTAAATTTGAGGCTTTCTAAAAAAAACAGAGATTTTTTTAATCGAACAAAAAATCTCTATTTTTCAATTTTGTCATACCTATAATATGTAAAAAACAGACTATTTGGCGTATTTTTACAGCAATTTTTGGTACTAATTTCGTACTATTCGAAAACGTAACAAACGAAAATGATAAAACACTACTTGAGGAAAGTCTATATACAATATTTCAAAGTCGAGGTGTAGACGAGTGCAACATTAATTTAAAAAAATTCGAAAAAGTCTAACTTCTAAATTCTAATAATTAAATTATTGAGTAGGTACTTACCTAAGTTATTTTTAACGGAAATCCTGATGTTTGAATCATTTGATGCTATTAATTATTACAACATAAATAAATACAGGTCGTAATTAGGAGTAATCAATTACCTTCGTTCAATAGTAGACATTTTATTAATTATCAATAGCTCCTTATTAAATAAATCTTTGGTTTACGATAATTATGCAAAACATAAAACATGTCGAGATGATAAATTAAATTAACTAAAAAACGAAAATTACACATACAAAAATCTTCACACATTTTATACACGTATACTTAAGTACTCCCATGATGAATTCCAAATCGATTACCAATAACATTTTACCTATTCATCCACCCTGTATAATCGAACAAATTTCCACGCACACGACCCTAAAAAGCTACAGCAATTTAAACATCAACAGCGACAATTCCAGAACGCCCAATGCAAAAATCAAGTAACCCGATACAAGTTTGCAGCATTTCCCCCTCAAAAAGGTAGTACCCGACCGAAGCGGTACCACCTCAAACGAAACTCTCGTCCCCGTACAACAGCACGTTCTCCGTGAACACGTTGCAATCGGGCCGCTCGTGCGCCACCAAATCGAACTCCTCGAGGTACTCCTCCTCCTTCCCGGTCGCCCGCCGCAGCTGCGCCGCCTCCGGCGATCCCTCGAACCCCTTCACCAGCAGCTGCTTGGCCTTGTAGTTGCAACTGTCGTGGTTGCTCTTGAAGGTGCTGCTGCTGCGCGTCGCCGTCGTGCTGGTCGTACCGTTCCTGGCGCGCCTGAACATCAGCCTGTTGGTGTCCGAGCATATGACGAAGCCGTGCCGGAATTTGGAGCTCATCAAATTGTAGAGTATGGGATTGACGGCGGAGTTCAGGTAGACCATTATCCTGCAGAAGTAGAGGAGGTTGTAGTACTTCTCGACGCCCAAGCGGATCACGCTCTCCTCCGGCACGACTATGATCCACACTATGAAGGCCCTGAAGGGTATCAGACAGATGAAGAAGCTCAGCACGACGGTGCCCAGCATCAGGATGACCTGGCGCCTGGCCCTGGCCGAGTAGCTGTCGATGTGCTTGTTCAGCACCAGCGTGGCGGCGTTCGATATCAGGTTCTTCGCTATGACGAAGTAGAGGACGAGCAGCAGCAGCAGGGGTACGATGAAGAAGAGGAAAATGCTGCCGAGGAAGTACAGGGCGGACCAGAAGGTGTTGGCCAGCGTGTGGCAGGCCGGTACCTTCGAACCGTCGAAGTACTCGATTTGTTTGAATTCCGCTATGCCTATCATCGGGCTGGAAGAGAAGCGTTAAACTCTACTTGTAGTACTTTTTTTTTTAATATCCGGGGACCGGAAACGATTTCCAATGACTTTTCCGAAATCTTCGCTAATGTATACACGGTGAGTCACTTTGAGTTTGACTCACCCTGTATGTACACCATCCTATTGGTTTCCTTCGGAATTTCTAATGCGGTGAAAAATCACTGGAAAATCGATTTTTCCAATCGTCTAGCTCCCGAATCCACGATATATGCAGATCCACAAAAACAACCCAAACCAATTCCAAAAAAAGAAAAATAACACAACGAAATCGCCGTATACAGGGGACGTCGAAAAAGCGATGTTGATTATAGATACAATCCCCGTTTTATTCGATTATTTCCGACGATGTTTTTCCGGAGTCGGGGCGCTTTTCCGCCGACTTTGATGGATCTAATAACGCAATATCGGAAGTTACGACACACCAAACGTATCGAATCTGCCATAGTTTTGTTGGTTATTGCGACTGGATTTGTTATTATGAAAAATTCGTTCCGGGTCGCCCGGTCTTCCGGTATATATCGAGGGCGATTCGTATATATTTTATTTTCCGGTTAGAGTAATTTTTCACGGCAGTATTTATTGATTTTCCCCTGTATACGGGATTTTTGATGTACCAGTCGTCCAAAGGTTTTTTTCTTCGATAAAACTGTTAGAATAAAACAAAGGTGAAGGCGCTAAAAAAGGGTAAATTGACAAACATTAAGCAACATTTACGAGGATATTTTAGGGTATTTTTGATAACAATTAAGCGTAAAACGAATACAAGACTGTCACACAATAGGGGAGGAAAGCGAATTTTAGGGTAGTTAGTTCTGTAACAAACGCAAAAATCGAAACATTTCTCAACAAATAAGTGAAAATAACCACTTCCCCAACAACATTTTAATTAATTTCAATTCTACTAGAAGTTGTTTAATATCGAACGAAGCGATGGGAAAAGTTCCTGGAAAATCGTCGCACAATGGCCGGGAAAACTTGGCCGAAAATAAAGAGCGCGCCGCCCGGCGAAATTTCAACAGTCGATGCTTTAAATACAGCGAAAATTTAATATCCAGCGCCCATAAATTCGTCGGAAAATCCGTTCGAAGCGTCCCGGTCATTCCGACAATTCGCCCGATCACTTAGAGCTCCATTAAGGAGTCATCTAATCCGCGCCAGGAAAAACCCGATAAACAATTTCCACCGGAACCGGTTTTTTTTCTTTTTATCCACCGCGCTCCGTTCGCTCGTAATTCTCCTTCGCCGTATCACTTAGCGGGGGTTTTTCTTTTGCAATTCCAATTAAACCCGCTAGTTTTTGTTGTTACGTTATACTCGCGGAATTTTTTTTATCTAACTCAATTATTTCGGTATTATCAGTGTTGCTGGGAATTTACTAGATATAAATGGAATGTTTTTACATAGTTATGAAGTATTTTTTTTAGAATTTTAGAAGCTTTTTTAGACGGTTTTCATGATTACTAAGCGATTGGTTTTAGAGGGTTTTCATGATTAGTGACTTTTATGACATTACAGTAGATTATATTCAAATTTTGTGGAACATATCTTAACATAAATAGATTCTCGAATCACTTACATGGTTATGAAGTGAATTTTTTTTTCAATTTTAGAAGCTTTTTTAGAGGCTTTTCATGATGATCAAGCGACTTTTTTTGAAATTTATAAGCCTCTTATTAAATTTTTACTGTACATTCCTTGATAACACAGAGTCAATAACATACAAAATTGGCAGCTAAAACGTGCATTCTCGACTAACGAGATTAGGTCTTGAACACGTCGACTGCCGGGCGAGCCGGCTGTTCATTCGATTAAGTCGATACGGCGTTTCGCAGCGTGGAAACGAGTCGCATTCAAGACTTCCGCGTATATATCCTATTTTTTTCCCTCCCGCACCCCAAGCGCAAGGGTGAATGAATTATGCGAAATGAATACAATCTGTATCCGAAACGAAAGGCTCTTCTGCGAGACGAAATTCGAATAAACGTCACGAGAAATTTGAATTTTTTTGTCGACAAAAAAAAAACGCGGATATTGCTCTTAATATAACGATCTTATACAAAGGAAAAAAAAAGAGGAATTCAATTCGCGAAAAGTGTAAGGCGATTTCGTCCGCTCCAATCGAGCCGTTTCGAAGATTTACCGGACGATATATCACCTTTTATTTTCATACGTCTAATGCGTAAAGTCGTTAACGGGCGTAACCAAAGCGAAACAACCACGCTTTATTGCCCTTTTAAATTAACACCATGCAGCAATAACTCGATCTAATAAAAGCTTTATTCTTATACAAAATAGTACATTTATCAAGCCTCCTTGCTATTTAGGAAATCTGACAATCGCGCCGATTATCATCTGTCACTTGTCACACGTCATCTAACATCGCAGATTAAACAATGATTTGTCCTAAATGATTCTGAACAGTTCTAAATCATTACGGACAATTCTAAATATCAATATAGAAAGTTGTAAATCATTTTAGACATTTCCAAATAAACTGCTCCACAAAAGTTAAGGAAGTTCGCAAATTTTGCGATTATTCTAAAAGTTACAGACTTTTTGATCACCAAATTTTCAAATATGCGAAATTAAATGTTTTCTCTCATATCTGAGTGGATTTTTTGCCCCTACTTCTACAACTCATACTAAAATTGGCGATCAAAAAACCTGCAACTTTTAAATTAATCTCAATGTTTGTGAACTTCCCTAACTTTTGTGGAGCAGTATAGTTTTCGACAATTTCGAAGCAATCTAAACAATTCTAACTAGTTCTAAATCATTCAGAAGCGCTGTAAATCATTCTGAATAGTTCTAAATCATTATGGACAGTTTTAAATGGTTCTCGACAATTCTGATTCGTCTTGAAGTTATTTAAATCATTCTGTACAGTTCTAAATGATTCTCGACAATTCTGAATCGTCCTGAAGCAATCTAAATCATTCTGGACAGTTCTAAATTGCTCTAGACTATTCCAAATTGTTCTCGACAATTCCAATTCGTTCTGAAGCAATCTAAACGATTCTGTGGACAGTTCAGAAGCATTCAAAATTAGTAGACGCTTCGCTATTTAGTGTGTTGGATAATGAAGCACTTGTCACTTGTCACGGCTGTCACGGACGAGAGGCGATTTGATGATAATCGAGCGGCGCGTCGATTGTCAAAACATCTTAATTTAAAATAATAATCGCGACGGGCGCGGCGTCACGACGGTGTACAAAACGAACAGGAGATTTTGTAATGTACAATTTGGAGGGCCGCCAGAATCGGATCATTGAGCGTGCGGCGTACGAACGTATAAATATTATCACCGTGGCGATTTATGCGCGAAGCCGCCGAGAAACCGCGTTCGATCATCGTAAACATTAAAAATTTTTTTTTCGCTAGTTAATGAACTAGAGAAAGTTAGTAGGAATTTTCGCCGTTTCCCACCGACGAGAAAGGTTATTTACAGGTTGAAATGTATACCACAATTAATCGATTAAAATCACGTCGATGCGAGCTTGCAATAAATAACTCCTTAAGCTATCGCAGTTAACTCCGGGATATCGTTTTTTTTTTTAAACGTCGGTTTTCCGTTCCAATTCGGAGCGTCCCAAAAGCCGAGCGCTATTAAGCATCCGATGGGCCAATGTAGCAAGTGTATCGTGCCGCATGCGATCAGCTCAAAGCTCCGAAAGCTCCGTTTTCGCCCAAGAAAAATAGAGAAAAACAAAATAACAGCCGCACACCGAACCAGAGCAAGCCGGATTTCAGTCTGGTAGGTTAGGGATTCCCCGAAGATTTAAGAACCTTCCTTGTGAATTATCTAATTTACCGGCGTCGCCAAGACGTAATACATTATAAATGAATTCAACTCTACATACCAAAAAATTGCTATATACAACGCACCTCTAACTGACCAGACTTCAAAATTACCATGCCAGCGAATAAGCTTGATTGACACTTTAAAACAGCGCAACATTTGGTACGTACCTCGTAAACACAGCGGCTACGAACCAAGCGAGCAAACATATCAGAGATGCTCGGGCTTTGGTGCATATGTAGCCGGCCTTTAGGGGCTTGCAGATGGCGTAGTAACGTTCGAAACTTATGGCCAAGATGGTCAGCACAGAGGCATGGGCTACCGTCAGTTCTACAAAGGGTACTGCTTTACCTGCCGATGAGGAAAAATAGCTTTAAAAATAATTATTCAGAACAATATATTGGGAACAACATATCAGGAACAACATATTGGGAACAACATATCAGGAACAACATATTGGGAACAATATATTGGGAACAACATATTGGGAACAACATATTGGGAACAATATATTCGTAACAAAATAATGAGTACAACATACTGTTATTTGCTGCTATAATTTTGTAATATAAAACACTTATGCATAGAAAAAAATTTACTATATTTCAACTGCTTCGAAATTAATTAAATCTGTTCCTAAACAAAATATAAGGAACACCATATTGGATCAACATAGGAAGGATATATTGAGTACAAAATGCTCTTGTTTGCTGCTGAAATTTTGCAATAAAGAACACTTATGTAGGGCCGGAATAAATTAAATTTAATTGCGAATACATTCGAGCAAAAATATTTCTATTATACTCTATTCCGACGGTTCGGAATAAATTTCGAAATTAATTCGTAGCGTTTTAATCCGGCGATTAATTCGAACTTACATCTGTTCCCCAAAATGGCGAAATAAAATTAGCATATTCCTTTTGGTAATTTATTCCAGTGTATCCCGAAAAGACGCGCGACATATTCAGGAATGCAATTACAGGAGTTTTATTCGTAATTTAGTCGGAAACTTGGATCTAAAATTGAACGGCTTTTTTTATTGCTCGCGTTATATTCGCCATCGAGTCCGCGAACTTGACCGTGGGTTTGGAAATATTTATTTTCGAAAGTGTAGATGTAATGGGACCGCCCTGTAAATTAAGATGAAAAAAAAACCGATCGAACTATTCGATTTGCGCGAATCGATCCGGTCCATTTATCAATTTAATTCGCTCGCCAGGTATTCCATCCACCGTTAACCGGCTCATTTCCGAGACAATTAAAATTAAGATAATTGCCGTTTGGTGTAATAACAGTAGCACATTTGCTGATCTCGTTCGCCGTTTTCGGGCGTTAACTGTTTCTCCGGACGGAACATTACCGGGCCGGTGACCGCTGTGGTCCCTTTCGACATGTTTACGACCGTTTTCGGTTTATCATAAGCGTATATAATGTCATTTTTTTGATTTAGGTGCGTTTTGGGGACTTCAAGGTGCGTGCGGTGGTATTTTTAGACCGGTCAATTTAGCCAAAATTTGGTATATTCAATTGGATTTTGTGTAAAATCGAGCCTTATCTATATGTGCTAAAAATTATTTAATATTTGTTCATCATATCGATAATTTAAAAGAATTATTCGTACGCGCGTTATCAGCAAATCGACACATTTTTTCAGCAATTAACAGGCTAATGAATATTGACAGAACTATCTTTGTGTTGTTATCGGAATATAAATATTTATTTCGTTAAAGTTTCGTCTTAGATAGCGCGATGAATTTTCGATTGACCCATATAGAAAATATCGCGTCGAAAAGCGACGATTCATCCGGCGATTTTTTTACAACCGGCCGTTTTACGAGACCCACTGCACCATGAAAGGCAAGAAAATAAGTTAGCAAACAATTTTATAGTCTGCAAATAGCCGAGAGGAAAATTGAAAAACGTCCCATTCAAATCTGAGGGTTTGCACAAATAGAGGAAAATGTTTCACCAGGATTAATGCCTCGTAAAATTTAGTACTTATTACTGAACTTTTTTTGGGTTATATTCCGCAAAATATTGCTGTTGTAACAAAGCTCCAACTGAAATTAATTGATTCACTGATTCAACATTTTGTTCGGGCAAAATTAGCGAGTGTTTCGACTAGACGTTTCGTCTCAAGGAAATACCATCTTCAGTGTAGATTTTACAAAAAACCGCGTTATTAATCCTCTTTTTTAAGCTTAGCAAGTCTGTTAAATAACCCGATCACCTTGTACAAATAAATAAACTCCCTTATCGGTATGTCCGAGCGGTTTCGATTATTTTTTCAATCGATACGACGCATCTAAAAAGGCGTTATCGTCAAAGCGAGAGAGACCATTGAATAGGCCAGTAAATTAGAATCGTGTAATAGTGTGGGAAATAAGCGGAACAATATCTCGCTTTTTGCCGGCGATGCTCTAACGAGACTCCGCAAACGAGTTGAAAATTCCGATAAAAATCGCTTCGTCTATAGGGTGTTCCGGAAAAGCGACGCTTTCCCGATGCACTGTTTCGTTAATTTAAACCGAACGCTGCCTCGGATGAATTATTCATGAGGATATTGTGTGTTTTTGTCGCGATCGCTGTACGAAACGGCGTCTTCAATACCGAAAAGGTCAACACTTACATATGTTTCTGGTTTTCAAAAGGCGACGGTCGCTCAAAGAGATCCTATCTGATGCTTATAACGATCGTATATTAATTTTTCTCGTGCGAGCATCGGCCGTTTGAATAGCGTTTTGTAACGGGTCTCGAGTGATATCTCGATGGGAACGAGAAAAAAATTCGTTGTTTTGTTGAGCTGTGGGGTCCTTTCAATTAGACGGAATTGACGTGAACAAGTCGTTCAGGACCACTTTAGATTTTGTTTACTTAGAAAAAGTAGACTGAGATTTCCGGGTCTATTCACAATGAATATTTATTTAATATGTTTCACCCTGTAATATGTCTACAAAGTATATAAGAATAGGTAAAAAAATTCTTATTTTATAGGGTAATAAGGTCGGTTTAACAATTTTAGCTCATTCTTCTAAAGGATAATAAGGAGAGTTCCTAAATTCAGAGACCTTTCAGTTCACCCTGTAATAAGATAATAAGGATACGAGGGTAGGTAAATAAAACATACGGTTCCACGGTTCCACAATTTCAGTTCACCCTGTAATAATATATACGAGGGTAGGTAAAAAATTATTCGACACGATGAAATATCTTCGGCATTGTATTAAAAATCCAGTCCCACAGATAGAGGTTGTTGTCATTCTATACATATTCCCCGTCCGAAAAAATACGATACTCATGCATACGAATCGCGAGAGTAATAAGTAACGACAGAAGTTCCTATTGTAGTCAATTGGAGATGGGCTCGAAAAGAAATGAAGTCTTACCTGTCCCAATCGAAACGGCGTAATCGAGCTATAAATAATCGAGCGAATAAGAAAAAAAAAACAATGAACGACTCGAATTATTCACTTAATATTTATCGACGTTATTTATAGGGTTTTTATTCGCGGGGAATTATAGACAGTTCGCCAACTTTCGGTCCTGATATTATTTTCCAATCAACGCGGGTTCTCGCGCGAAGAAATTTCGCCCGACAAAAAAAATCGCTAAAATATTTCTAGCACGAACAGCATATCGCGCGCATTATAAAAGCCGATTCCCGACAGCATAGTTGGGTGTTTAAAACGTCGTAAAACTGTCACATTAACTTTAAAGAGGCTATTTATTTAAGTGTCTGGTTGTTTTGCGCGCACTTTTTCCGGTTACTCTACTTATATCGACTCTTATCTTAACGTTGTTTCGAAGGCAATTTCTTTAGATTTAGGCACTTGTTCTATCTAAATCTAAATTATCAATCACTTTGTATACAGGTAGGTATTCCAAACTTATTGAGTCAATTATACTCCGTTCGCAATCAGGATCATCATAAAAAATAGGCAGTATTTCTTGTAATTTTGTTTATATAGGTTTCATTAGTATCTCCTGATGGCGAACGGAGTATAACGACAACTAATCGAGATATATTTATATTCAAGAGTTGCCCCTGTATAGTGTTTACAAACAAAGAGACAGGAGCCTCTCGCAAGGGTTGGGGTGATTTTCCGTCGAGGCTCCGAAATTAGAGCGTTTATCTTAGAGGCCATAAAACCAAACGGTGTCGCGACATTTACATTCAGGTTTCAGATTAGAGAAAGAAATAAATGATACTTATTTTCGTGCAACACAAGGCGTTTTTCATAACTGTTACATGCAACAAATTTACGGTCTTTTATTTTATAGTAGCATCGGCCCTTTACTGGTTCGATTATTAGTCAAAATGTAAAATTATGTTAGTTATTCGGTTAATAAGTAATCTATAAAACATTGCATTTTTGCAAGGTGCAATAAATTGCTGCAATATTGCATTGCAGTTAAAATCCAAGCGGTCAAATGTTTAGTTTAATTTTTATTAACGCTTGTATTGTATAACTTGCAAGGAGTATACCAAACGGAGAATTCTCCTTCCAATTCATTCGACAATAAGACCGGGAAAAAATTGTTTGATCGAAGCCGGGTCGTTACGTTTTAATTATGATTTATTTTGATGGCACTATATCGGCCGTCGACTTTATAAAAATGAATTGTAGCGCCTCATCGCGTATAAATTATACCCGGACCGCTCGGAGATTTATGAGTCTCGGCGAAAGAACGAGAATTTTTTTCTCCTCGCCGAAAAGACAGCCGGACAAACAACGACGGCTCTCGCGCAAAAAAATCTAATTTCAATAAAAAACGATTTTACTCGGATTAATTTGCATGCGCGCCGTCTTTTGTACGCCGTAATAAATTAAAAAAATTACAACGGGGAGCCCGTTTTCGCGAAGGGAGAGCGCGCCCGCCGGAATATCCGCAGAGTATCGACGACTTCCATTAATGGAGAATTAATGTCGCGGACCGTTCGAATCACGTAAATCCGATGCGGTGGTGGGTTCGTTTATTTTTTTTCGGGATCACGGATCCCATCACGGATCCGAATAAAACGCCGATACGGTTTCGGAAGTGAGCGGACGTTTTGCGCGGGCCGCGAATTTCGCGGAAAGGGAAAAAAATTAATGGCTCTACCGCCGCGGTGTCCGCACGGCCGGGAATGCCGTTTTCCTGTTTTCGGGACGTCCTCTAGAGATTTCGAGCGGTCGCTTTACGAACATAACACACTCATATCTTGTACTGCGAAAACTCCATGTTGGCACTTGGACGGATTTCAATATAAATAATAAACCAATTTCTGCAAATGTATCTACACCCTTCATCAAAATCAATTACTGAAAGATATCAATTATAGTTCTCTATTCGCTGTCGCCTCAAAAGGT